TTGATTGAACTCTCTGTGGGACTTTGGTTTTCAATTATGAAAAAAAGCCTGACTACCCTCTTTTAGACTTGAACTCTTCACCTAAACCAGCTAAAAGGTCGCGTGTTATTCAGACTCCAACACCACAAAGCCAAATTACTCAAGCTACTGGCTCTAACACCAATAGTTTTGTTCCTCTAAAATCAGCCTTTAGCAGAGTGTTTAGAGATATTACCAATCTTCCTTGCAGTAATGATGAAACAAGTAAGACACCATCCAGTCAGCAGCAAGATATTCTGCAAATTAAAACAGACACAACAAACACTTGGTATTTTCATAAACTATTGTATCTATTTTTTAACTATCAATTTTTTTATTATTGTGATTACATTGTATATGCTAATTTTTAACCAATATTTTGCAGGTTCAATTCCTATATATGGACTCACCTCAATGGTACAGGAGAAATTTGGAGAAAGTCAGAGATACTCACCTTCTATTTTATCAGATTTCAGCAATGTCTATGACCCATTTGCTGAAGCCTGCAGGAACTTCACATCCTGTCTCATTATCAACTACTGCCAAGAATAGCAGAACATGTTAGTCTCAAAGCTAACTTTCATTTATTAATGATTATATATATCACAATATTAGTTGTCATCCTAACTTTCTGTGTACTCAAATTAAAGGTACTGCTATTCCTACTTCAGGCTTAGGCAAACAGACAGACTGTAATTATAGTCCACAAGAAGATAACTGCCATATCAGAAATTTACAACATGCCTTTGCTAATGCATCATTTTCTCCTACAGACAAAGGTAATAGACATCTCTGACAGTTCTGTTTTCAGAGTTTTTGCCATGTACTACTTAAATACATAACTTAATTAAACTGTTTTTTACTTATTAGGCAAAGGAAAAGAACCAGTACTACCAACCTTTACAGATTGTAGCACTGATGATGAAAGTATAGAGCATATTAATTATATTGGAATGAATGACAGTGAATCTGATGGAACACAAGACTACTCTGTTAGCAGCACAAAAGATGAAGTTGAAGAAGGTTACTCGGCTCCTGTTCAGGAACCTTCTATTGAACAGATATTTAATTCTCCACAACAAGTTATTGACTTGAGTAGTTCAGCGGATGAATCAACTGTTGAATTCACTACTCCAACTGTAAGTGTTACTAGGAAAAGTGTAGAAAGGAAAGCAGTGACTCAAACTATAAATCTACCTAAGAAAAGAGGTCGACCAAGATTGGCTTTCCCCACAAAAAGGGCAGTAGCAAAAGCAAAGAAAACATGTTAGAACTTAAAAATATAGTTAGATTGACATTTATTTGCTCTACATATAGCATCCTTTGTTGCGTAAATATTAGTAACACTCTGTTTTTCCTTTAGGATATCTTGATCATGGTGATCCTACATACAAGTGTAAGTATTGTGGTGCTTTGATGTGGTTTGATGAGCGCATAAACAAAAGAAACAGTCGTAAGGATCCCACTTTTACTCTATGTTGTGGGCAAGGCAGTGTGAAATTGCCATTTCTCAAGGAATCACCAGAGCTTATTAAGAAGCTTCTTAAAGGAAAAGTAGCAATCAGTAGAAATTTCAGAGAGAATTTAAGGATTTATAATATGCTCTTTGCAATGACCTCCCTTGGTGGGAAGGTAGATAAATCTATGCCTAAAGGTAGACCTGCAATGTTTCGATTGCAAGGAGGAAACTATCATCAAATTGGGGGATTAAAACCTGTTGCTGGTGATTATGCTAAATATTCACAACTTTATATAGTTGATACTGAAACTGAAGTTGATCAGAGAGCTACTGTGATTGAGTAAGAGTTATAATAGTATTTGAAAACCCAAAATATTGTTATATTACCTTTGCTCCTATATTCAGCTGTAGTTATCTAACTTTGTGTCTTCTTATGGTCATTGCAGCAAGGGTCAAAATCTAAAGTCTACCTCTTGGAAAAAAAAAACTGAATAAGGAACTGATTGAAGCAATAATAAAAGTGCTGAATGAATCAAACCCTTATGTCAAGAAATTCAGGTCTGCAAGAGAGAGGTTTCAATCTAATGATGATGAACCATTTCATATGCGGATTGTTGCTGATCGTCAAGCTGTTGATGGAAGGCAATACAGTATGCCTACAGCAGGAGAGGTTGCAGCTTTGACCCCTGGTGATTTCATTCCTGACATGCCAGTTCGTGATATAATTCTTGAAAAATCCTCAAATGGACGCCTAAAGAGGATAAGCCAGATTCATATATATATATTTCCTATTTTGCTCTACAATACCCTCTAATCTTTTGTTATGGTGAAGATGGTTACAGGCCTGGTATTGAGAAGTGTTACAAATCAAGCAACAACAAGAAGAAAAAGTCTATAAGTATGAGACAGTGGTTTGCTTTCTGCATTCAAGAGAGGGAAAATGAGTGTCATACTCTGCTTGAAACAAAGAGGTTGTTCCAACAGTTTATGTGTGATGCATATACAACTATTGAATCAAACCGTCTCTATTATATCAAGTTTAGTCAGTCTAAGCTACGATGCGAGAATTTCAACTCCATTAAAGAAGCTGCTAACTCTGGAACCAAAGATATGGCTGAAGAAGGAAATCAGATTCTTATTCTAGCATCTTTCACTGGTGGACCTAGATATATGATCCAAAGCTATTACGATGCTATGGCTATCTGTAAGCGTTATGGTTTCCCAGATCTTTTCATCACCTTTACATGTAATCCTAAGTGGCCTGAGATTACAAGATATTGTGAAGCAAGAGGGTTAACTGCTGATGATAGACCGGACATCGTGGCGAGGATATTCAAAATCAAATTGGATTCTCTAGATGAAAGACTTAACAGAAAGAAAAATGCTTGGAAAGACAGCTGCATGTAAGTTTTTCATACTACAGTGTCGGTTTTATAGTTTAAGAATACAGAAAATGATATTTGTTGTTCCTAACTATTGCTTTTTTTCCTCTTCCAGCTATGTATACTGTTGAATTCCAGAAAAGAGGATTGCCTCATGCTCACATCCTCTTATTTATTGATGTTAATAGTAAACTACCAACAGATGACGACATTGACAAGATCATATCTGCAGAAATTCCAGACAAAGAGAAAGAACCAGAGCTATATGAAGTTATCAAAAACTCTATGATTCATGGACCATGTGGCTCAGCAAATCCAAATTCTCCGTGTATGGTTGATGGCCAGTGTTCTAAGCTATACCCAAAAAAACATCAAGAGATCACTAAGGTTGGTAGTGATGGTTATCCTGTCTATAGGAGGAGGCTCACAGAAGATTATATTGAGAATGGTGATGTTAAATGTGACAATAGGTATGTTGTCCCTTATAATAAGAAGCTCTCCCTTCGATATAATGCTCATATCAACGTGGAATGGTGCAATCAGAATGGTTCTATCAAATACTTATTTAAGTATATAAACAAAGGCCCAGATATGGTTACAGTGATCGTTGAGCCTATAAATCAGCCAACAACAGGTGAAACAGCAACTGGTGATACAGCTAATCCAGCTCAAGATCCAGATTCAAATGAGAAAAACAAGGATGAAATAAAAGATTGGTTTGACTGCAGGTATGTTATTACCTTAACCATATGTAAATTAGTAAGTTTTTCTCCTTTTACAATTTTATTTATTCTGTTTTTTTTATGTCTATAGATATGTATCAGCTTCAGAGGCTGTTTGGAGAATTTTCAAATTTCCTATTCAACACAGATCAACCCTAGTCTTGAAATTATCTTTTCATGTGGAAGGAAAGCAACCAGTATATTTCGATCCAAAGTCACAAATAGTAGATGTTCTAGATCGTATATCCAATGAAGATTCTCAGTTTATGGCTTGGTTGACATTGAATAGAAACGATGCAGTTGGAAAGAATGGAAAGCGTACAAGAGAGTGTCTATATGCGGAAATACCAGCCTATTTTACTTGGGATGGAAAGAATAAGCAGTTTAAGAAGAGATCTAGAGGTTGTGCTGTTTTTCTGCTTAGATCACAGATTTGCTTTTCTTTTCTCTTAAACTTTCATACTTTCATACATTACATCCAACGTTTACACAATACAACTAGGCATGTCAATCGGGCTAGCCCAGCCCGGCCCGGCCCGAAGCCCGCAAAACCGTACATATTTGAGCCCGGCCCGGCCCGGCCCGTAAAAATTCCGAGCCTATATTTTAAAGCCCGGCCCGGCCCTAACAGGGCTACAGGGCTTTTCCGGGCTTTTTTGGGCTTTTCTTCCGACAACAAAAAACAAACTTATAATTTATAATATCTCTTAAAAAAAAATCTATATATGAAACGAGTCAATCAAAATTTAAATAAACAAACTTAAATAATCAATCAAAAAACAAACTTATAATTTATAATATCTCTTAAAAAAAAATCTAACGCTAATTTAGTTTTTTAAAAAGAGAGTTAAAATCAAATAAATAATCCAAATAAATTGTTTAAACTTATACTAGATAAAATATAAAATCAAAATAATTCAAATTAGGTAGTAGAGCTAATATTTGCTTTTTCGATTTATAGTAATACATAACGAAAAAACTATGTTTAGGGTTTTCAACTCTATCAAAAATTTTTTTTACAACAAATCTTACAATTAAACGAAAATATTAACAAAAAAAAAGATCAAAATATTTTTTAAAGGGCTTTTCGGGCTAGCCCGAGCCCGGCCGGGCTAAGCCCAAAGAACCCTTTAGCCCGAACGGGCTTAGCCCGAAAGGCCCGATTTTTTCTGGACATATATTTTGAAGCCCGAGCCCGCTGTTTTTCAGGGCTGGGCTGGGCTAGCCCGCGGGCTTTGGCCCTAATTGACATGTCTAAATACAACTTATAGAGATTTCTTCTACTCACTACAACCACTCTCTTAGACTCTAAACTTGGTCACTATTTGACCTTACCTCTAGACATTAGACTTAGTATTACAAGCAACCTTACACAACCTTACCTTAGCCACTTACAACCCCAACTACTCTAGGTTAAGTACTTTAGCTAGAATAAGATACATAAGCTAATTCTACGAATGGGCCACAAAGAAACATACTTCACCACTTTGGGCCTATACTAACTTCATCAGCCCAATAAGACAAAACACAAAAACCCACTTCTCTTGTTGACTTTTCTTCTTCTTCTTCTCATGTCTTCTCTCTTACGACCAAGCCGACCACTTCGTCTTCTTCTTCAAGGTTTCAATCTTCTTGTTCTTCATCATCGTTTGACTCATAGTAGTTTTCTCTTTTGCAGGCTCAATCGAAAACTCAACTCTCAACACTCCCTCTTGAGTTTTCGATTTGAGGTCTCGATTCCAAGTTAGAATTTTGAATCTTGATGCTTTTACTTCTTCGGTACTGGTTCCTTTTCTCTTCATCGAAGGAGAGCTCTTCAGGGCATCGACATAACTCATCGGTGAGTTTGATTTCTCGACTTCCTTCTTGCGCGTCGTTGTCATGTGTTCAACGTCTCCTTTCATAGGTTTCATTGCTCCCTCTTGATCAGTTGTCTTCTCGGTCTTGTTCTCCTTTGATTCAGTCTCAGTTGTGTTCACTTTGGTCTTCTTTTTCATAAAATCTGGAGAGAAATCTATATCTCCAAACTTGATGACATTTAAATTTTCAACCACTGGTAATCCCCGTATCTCTTCCTTGTTTTGATTTTGAAGCTCTTGCCTTTGATTCTCAAGAGATTTACTTGTACCAGTGTTTTCCAACTTATAGATTCCGAATCCTTTGAACTTCAATGCTTGATTCTTCTTTTCTGTCTCTTGATTTTTCTCTGCATCCCTTTTGCAGGTTTCTTCTCTAATCCAATTTTGCTCCCTCTCAATCTTAGGTGAGCTTTCAAATTTCTCCACCGTGTCTCCTTTCGACACCACATTGTTCAGCTTGGTTCCGTGAACCACATCTTTGGTTTCTTTAACTTTGTTTTCTTCTTTTCCAAGTTCAGAACCAGTCTGGTTCTTACCTTCACTCACTGATTTTCCTTTCACTGCTTCAGCTCCGATCTTCTTAGGTTGATACATCACAGATTTGTTCTTCTCTTCAGCATTTTTCTCAGTACACCAAGATTGCATCATCTTTTGATTTTCGACTTTAGTGTGTCCAGCATCTTGACGACCAGATTCAACATTTTCTTTCGCAACCACCATTGTTGCTTCTTCATTTGCTGACATTTTTAGATGGAAACTCTTCTTGATCATTGGTACCTCTGCTATCTTTCTCCCAGCTGGATCATGAATGGTACAGCCTCTTTGATCGAAGGTAACATCATAGTCATTTTCAATCATTTGAGAAACACTCAATAGATTTTTGGTGATCTGTGGAACTAGAAGAACATCTCTGATGATTCTCTTGCCCTTTTTTGTCATGACTTCAATGTCTCCTTTTCCTTTTGTTGTCAGCACAGCTCCATTACCTACACATATAAGAACATTGAAGCTTTTGTTGAGATTTGAGAATAGCTTTTCATCTGAAGCCATATGATTTGTGCATCCACTAATGAGCCAGACATTCTCTTCAGGTGATTCTTGATCCTCTTGTCTTGCAGTAAACATGTGGTAGCTTTCTTCTGCTTCATTGTCTTCTTGGTTGACTTGTGCTTGTTCTCCATTCTTGACTTTGCAGTTTGCAGTCTTTTATTAGATGACCCACTTTGCCACAGTGAAAACAACTCCAATTCCTAGTGTCTCTGTTTCTGTTGAAATCAGGTCTGATTTTTCCACTCTTAATCCAACATACATCTTCATTGTGATTATCTCTTTTGCAGTAACCACACCATCTTTTTGCTCTGTAACTCGTTTGACCTGAATTCTCTTTGTTCTTGTCTTCCACATTTAGACTTCTGAACCGTGCATGAAAGGCTCCTTCTGCATCTTCTTCATCTTCAGGGAAGAATTTCTTTTCATGTGCCTCAAGAGATCCAAGTAGCTCAGCATAGGTAACTGTTTGTAGATCCCTAGTTTCTTCCATTAAGGATGACAGACCAGCATAACTTTTTGGCATAGAGGCCAGCATTTTTACCACTAAATCAAAGTTTGATTTCCCTTCACCTAGAGCTCTCATCTGATTTGCTACAGCCTGAATCCTATCCGAGTAAGTCTTAACTTTCTCCCCTTCTTTCATTTTCAAGTTTTCAAATTCCCTTCTTAAAGACTGAAGTCTAACAGTTTTAACTTTCTCATTACCTTGGTAAAAGTGCCCCAGGAGTTTCCATGCTTGGTGTGATGAAGATGCAGAGAGGATCTTGTCAAAGACCACATCAGCCACATCATGCTGAATAATTTGGAGAGCAGCAGTGTCTTTAGCTTTTAGGGCCTTCAGGGCAGCATCTTTTCCTTTATCTGGAGTTTCAGTTGATTGAGTTGTAGCTTCTGGTACTCCATCTTTGACGACTTCCCATAGATCTTTATTCAAGAGTGTAGTTTTCATTCTTGCAGCCCAGAACTCATAGTTCTGACCATCAAAGACTGCAACCAGTTGAGAGGACTGCAAGTTTAACGCCATGTGAGTTCTTCCTTTACTTTGACTTGATTACTTCTGGTTTTCTGGTTCTTCCTTGAGCTTGCTTGTTCTGACTCTTCTTCTTCTTATCTTAAACAGGCTCCAAGAACAAGATGAGCTCTGATACCATGTTGTTTTTCTGCTTAGATCACAGATTTGTTTTTCTTTTCTCTTAAACTTTCATACTTTCATACATTACATCCAATGTTTACACAATACAACTTATAGAGATTTCTTCTACTCACTACAACCACTCTCTTAGGGGGGTTTATTGGATCATTGATTTGAATGGAATTGGAAATCTAACTAAAATCATGTGTTATTCAATCATTGATTTTAAAATCTTTATAAAAATCATGTGTTATTGGTTCTATGATTTACAAATACTAGTTCAAATCACCCCTTATTCAATATTGAAGATTTGAGTATGGATTTGATTTCATATTGGATTTGAATGGATTTGAAAATCTGTTTTAGTTATAAATAGAGAGATTGAAATCCTTGGATTCCACCTAGTTATTTGGGTGGATTTGAAAAAAAAAAAAATATTAGTAGTTTTTATTTTCCATAATGTTTTGAATATCAAAAAGAAAAAAACTGCTAATACAAAAATCACGAAACATCTTCGTATAATACTTTCAAGCATATCGATCACAAAAAAAAAAACTGCTAATACCAAAAATCATGAAACACCTTCATATAAAAGTATATTTTTATCATATAATAAAAATCAAAAATACTAGAAAACAAAGGAAGGTTTTCGAAACCAAACAAGACTAGAGGAAAAATTCTAGAAAACCAACAATACTAGAAAACAAAAAAAAATTAATCTAACATTCCATAATGTTACGCTTAATCCAACCATGACGTTCATTAGTAGACATACTAACAAAGATTTCTTTCATCCCCAATTGGTGAATCACTTTAACCGCATCGTAACGAACGGTTTTTTTTTCCAAATTATGGACTTTTTTGATATCTTCCTATATGTGTGGAGAGAACAATCAGTGGAGAGAAACAAGATCATCAAACATGTGGAGTGATTCAATTCAGAGTTCATAGATGAGAACATGATAGGTTATTTTGTTTATCATAAAAAATTTCATGTTTTAATTTTATTATCTATTTTCTATGATTTTCAAATCCATTTTATTTGACTCTAAAATCAACTTTATTTGATTTTCAAATCCACATTGTTTGATTTTAAAATCAGTGGATTATGTGTGAATTTCCAAATGTGATAGAGATTTCTAATTCTATTCAAATCAATGATCCAATAACCCCTCCTTAGACTCTAAACTTGGTCACTATTTGACCTTACCTCTAGACATTAGACTTAGTATTACAAGCAACCTTACACAACCTTACCTTAGCCACTTACAACCCCAACTACTCTAGCTTAAGTACTTTAGCTAGAATAAGATACATAAGCTAATTCTACGAATGGGCCACAAAGAAACATACTTCACCACTTTGGGCCTATACTAACTTCATCAGCCCAATAAGACAAAACACAAAAACCCACTTCTCTTGTTGACTTTTCTTCTTCTTCTTCTCACGTCTTCTCTCTTACGACCAAGCCGACCACTTCGTCTTCTTCTTCAAGTTTCCAATCTTCTTGTTCTTCATCATCGTTTGACTCATAGTAGTTTTCTCTTTTGCAGGCTCAATCGAAAACTCAACTCTCAACAGGTTGGTCTTTGGGTCGTATTAATTATGTCCCTAGGAAAATGGAAGATGAATACTATCTTCGAGAGATAGATAAGATGACATAGTCAGAGGTCCTTCTAAACATAGTCAGAGGTCCACAGAGTTATGATGACATAAAAACATATAAAGGTGTGGTTTATCCATCTTACAAAGAAGCATGTTTTGCACGTGGCATATTAGATGATGATCAGGTCTACATTGATGGTCTGATTGAATTAGGTCAGCATAGTTTTGCTCCTGTTTTGAGGATTTTTTTTGCAATGATGCTTCTATCTATGTCTCTAGCAAGACCAAAACATGTGTGGTTAGAAACATGGCATATATTATCTGAAGATATTTTGGCTAAGAAGAAAGAAGAGTACAATAATCCAGGTTTTAGACTACTCTTCTCTAATATTTAAATAATGTTTTCGGTACAATTCTTAAATCGCCTGTTTTAACTTCCACACTACAATTTGCAGAACTTACACTCACAGAAGCTCAAATAAAGAACTACACGCTTCAGGAGATAGAGAAAATTATGTTGTTCAATGGAGAAACTCTAGAAGATTTTGAACATTTCCCTAAGCCTACAAGAGAGGGAATTGATAATTCAAACCGTCTTATTGTTGATGAGTTGAGATATAACATTGAATCCAACTTGGAAGAACAGCATGCAGAGTGGAGAGATAAGCTAACTCCTGAACAGAGAGGTGTATACAATGAGATAATCGGGGCAGTTTTCAATGGTTTAGGTGGAGTTTTCTTTGTTTACGGCTCTGGAGGAACAGGGAAAACATTTATATGCGGCTATTAGGTCTAGAGGTTTAATATGTCTTAATGTCGCCTCCAGTGGCATTGCTTCTTTGTTGTTGGAAGGAGGAAGAACAACACATTCAAGGTTTTCTATTCCATTGAATCCTGATGAGTTTTTTGTTTGCAAGATCAAAGCTAAATCAGATTTAGCAGATTTGATTAAAGAAGCATCTCTCATAATTTGGGATGAAGCGCCAATGATGAACAAGTTTTGTTTCAAAGCTTTAGATAAAAGCGCCAATGTTGTTTATTATCAAACACGCAGAGAACAAGGTATTTGGTGGAAAGGTAGTTGTATTTGGAGGTGATTTTAGACAAGTACTTCCTGTTATTACTGGTGCTGGTAGAGCAGAAATTGTTATGTCATCTCTAAATTCTTCATACCTTTGGGATCAATGCAAAGTTTTAAAGTTGACCAAGAACATGCGACTACTAAACAACAGTTTAAGTGCTCATGAAGCTAAAGAAATCCTGAAGATTTGCTGATTACAGAAGCAGACAATCCAATAGAAGCAATTACTAGGGAAATTTATGGAGATCCAACTAAGCTTCATGAAATCCATGATCCTAAATTCTTTCAAATGAGAGCTATTTAAGCACCAAAGAATGATGATGTCAACACAATCAATCAGTATATGCTTGAGCATTTGGATAGTGAGTATACTTTAACTCTTAACTATTTACTTGCTTATTATATAATCATTGCTAAGTTGCTACTGTAAACAACTAATCATATCCCTTTTTTTTGTACAGGTCCAGAAAGAATTTATCTATCTGCTGATAGTATAGATCTTTCAGATTCTGATGCTCTTAACAATCCTATTATTACTCCAGATTTCTTTAACAGTATCAAGGTTTCAGGTTTGCCTGATCATGCTTTACGTTTAAAGATTGGTGCTCCTGTTATGTTGCTTAGGAATTTAGATCCTAAAGGAGGCCTTTGCAACGGCACTAGACTTCAGATTACGCAGCTATGTAATCAGATTGTGCAAGCTAGAGTTATAACAGGAGACAGGATTGGTGATATCGTTTTTGTTCTTCTCATAAACATTACACCTTCAGACACCAAACTGCCATTCAAGATGCGTAGAAGACAGTTTCCACTATTTGTTGCATTTGCTATGACTATCAATAAGAGTCACGGACAATCTCTTGAGCGAGTTGGACTTTACTTGCCTAAACCAGTCTTCTCTCATGGCCAACTATATGTTGCGTTGTCTAGAGTGACTTCTAGAAAGGTTTGAGAATACTAATACTCAACAAAGAAGGGAAGATTGAGAAGAAAACAACCAATTTCCTTTTTAAGATTTCAGTTATGGTCTGAAAAACCACCACACACAATTTTAATGCATCAGTCTTTGTTTTTCTATTGTAGGAACCTGATTTCTAATCAACCAGACAGTTTCAACATCAAAGATGAAAGGAGATCAGCAATAAAATGTCTAACTTCATACTGAATTGTAGTAAAATTCATTTTCATATTCTTAGTTCTGCAATTTCCGTTTAAAATAAAACAGCCAAAGTTGTTGTACCAACATTATTGGTTTCCTGAGACTAACCTTGCTTTCTTAGACCATCTCCAATGTATTTCCCTATTTTTAGCTCTATCTCTATAATAGAGGTGAGTTTTCTCTATTTTTACTCCAATGTGTTCCTCTATTTTTTCCTCTATAAAATTTAACTCTATTTATAGGGGAAAAAATAGAGATTCTCTATATCATCCTCTATATATAGAGCAAAAAATAGAAATCTCTATTTTAGAAGTGAGAATAGAGGTGGGTTGGAGCAAATTTGCCTCTAAAATAGAGTTTAGAGGCAAATATAGAGGTGAGTTGGAGATGCTCTTAGGTAGTTGATGAATTCTCCTCTTTCTATTTTTTGACTTCTGTGTCCATCTTCGTAAGACTTTGTGCTGGATTTTTGCTCAGTAAACTAGCATATTTCAAAGTGAACTTAATATCAATAGTTGGACAAACTTTTTAAGCTAATCTCAGAATTTCAGAAAACACTATAATTTATGCGTTGAGCAGAGTTATAGTATATTGATTCCTTTCTATAAACCACTACCAATTCTACCTATTATTCACAGTCAATTACTACATTTTTAACATACCTGAAGAAACAACTGTAGTTTCAATCATCGATTTGAGAAAGTACTAACCTTTAGAATGATCCGATTATGAAATGAACAATCGATTGATTTGTCTCCTGTACTCCATTGCTTGATTACGCACTTGGTTGATAGCACTCACTTACATGCATCCACTGAATTAGCCAGATTTGATTCAATTGCAACATGGAGATTGTTGGCGCCGAAGGTTTTGATCTGCTACAATCCCATCCGAATTTGAGAGAACTTATTTGAAATCCCAAACATTAATCGACATCTTCAGATTATGCCGAGATTAAATCAGAGCTTGAAGATTGCTGAGATGAATTGAAATGGTTGCGTTCGTCGGAGTAGTGAATTCCGTTATGGCACCGACTAATTTAACGGTATCCATTTGTTCCGTTTTTTCTTTTTCTTTTTTTTTTCCCGACCAAATAAAGTAATATTACTTTAATTACTGTATACTAACTTTATTAAACTATAAATCTTACTAACTATTACTAATGACTTAAAATAAATCCAAAACACTTTATCTTCTAAATATACACTTTTAAAACTTTTATTTCCTTTTCAAAAAATATATGTTCATAAATACTAGAAATTATATTTTTACAAAACTCAATATATTCAAATAAAATCAAATTCATTATCTTATTTGTGTAACTTTATAAAATTGGAAATGGCATAATTTGAGTACACGTTAGTGATCTATTGGAAATTTTTATAAATCTATTTTTATTAAAATGAAATTGAAATTGACTAATTCAACCATATATAGATATATACAACTCTAAATTTCAATGTATACATTTAAATTAATAAAAAAATCATATATGTCAAATAAAATATTTAAATTAATAATTAAAAAATAATAAATAATATTTAGTTCCGCGGTGTACCGCGGGTTTACATCTAGTATAGATTAAAAATGATTTATTTTGTTTGTTTTCTCTAAATAACATTATGTATTTAAAAGCAGTTCAACCAATAGAAAAATAATCTATTGAATACAACATAGAAATATAAATAATTTTGCATTAAAATTTTGAAAATATCAAATAAATTGAAATAAAATTTTCTTTTCTTTAAACATCAATTAATATGATACGGAGGAAATATATGTTAGCCAAACCGTTGCATAACCTAGTTGTTTTCATGTTGTATATATAATTACTCAAATATATATATAATATAAATTACAATGTCTCGACTGATAATTGATAAAGTTAGAAGGTGTCTCAAAAGGTGGGAGAAGTAAAAAGAATTTTGAACCTACTAAACGGATTAGACGAAAATAATTCCAATTATTTTCATTAAGTCAAACTTAACACTCCGTATTAATGTTAGGTTTAATTAGTGTTGGCTCTACTTCAGCCGAGTCAATCAATGCTAAGTTTAAGATTTTTTGCTGTTGTTGGAATCTTTAAATTCTGGTTTGTTAGTTAAAAAAAAAAAAAAGCATGTTCATATAACAGACGCACCCGCCAACCACGGCTAAACGAACACCCCAAAATGTCAATTTTTGTTGCTTATGTATTGTCAGTTTGTCACTTAACGATTTTAGAAATTTTCTTTTCTAAATTTCATTTTTTTTGTAAACAGTTTACAACATATACAATGCTATAATATTTTTTATGACAGATTTTTTAAATTTGCCGGATGGTTGAATTTATTCGTTGTTCGTGTTGGCATTTGGTGAGCACAAGTGAATTTAGCCGATAAAAGGCGAAGGTAACTTGACTTCACACGACACAAGATTCTTCATTTTCCTTCGGCTGGTTGGTTGTAGTGCCGGCTCTGGATGAAACATGTGCTTTCGGCCTTCAAATCTATATTGATTTTATTGAATTAAGAACTAGGTTAAGAACACAAGATTAAAAGAACTTCTCTTTATTTCTTTAGAAAATAACTCAAAACTAAAGAACTCACAAACTCTCTTAATCTCTCTAAACTCTTATGGCTTACCACAACATTGGTAGCTCATATATATAGCAAACTCAAAAGCCTAACTCCTAATCGTATTAGGTCTTGTACCTTTAGATAACTCCTATTGTTATTCTAGATAACTCCTAGCATAACAAACTTTATCCCTCCTATATTTTAGTAACTTATGACTCAAGTTACATTCAAGTTTATCTCAACATAGTCCCTCCTAAACTTGAAAACCTCTTCCGACACATTTTGAACGCCAATGAGATCTCTCATCTCCTTGAATCTAATCCTACCAAGCGCTTTGGTTAGTATGTCAGCTCGCTGCTCCTCTCCGGCAACATGCTCAACCTCAATTTGTTCATTCTCGACACATTCTCTTATAAAGTGATATCTCTTGTTGATGTGTTTACTTCTTCCGTGGAACACCGGGTTCTTTGCAAGTGCAATGGCTGATTTGTTGTCAATAAGAAGCGTCACCTTCTCACATGAGCCTCCAGTGACTTCTCCGAGCAATTCTTGAAGCCAAAGTGCCTGTTTAGAAGCTTCCGTTGCGGCCATGAATTCTGCCTCGCACGATGATAACGCCACCGTGTCTTGTTTATTCGTACACCAAGTAATTGGACAGTTCTCAAGGTAGAACACATGTCCTGTTGTGCTCCTCCCGTCATCTTCATCTATATTGTGGCTGCTATCGCTATAGCCCACAAGCTTTGTCTTCTCTCCACGAGTAAAGAACAAACCAAGAGCAAGAGTTCCTCGCAGGTACCTAAGTATTTGTTTGAGTGCAGCTCCGTGAGACTCCTTAGGTTGTTGCATGTACCTACTTAACACACCAACACAATAAGATAGATCGGGTCTTGTGTGAAGCAAATAACGTAGACACCCTATGATTCTTCTATACTCCTTCTCATCGATATTCTCCTCTTGTGGTGCCTTAGATAACTTTAAACCCGAGTCCATTGGTACCTTCACCGCATTGCAGTCATTCATTCTGGTTTCTTCTAGAATCTTGGATGCATACCTTTCTTGCTTCAACACAATTCCATTCTCAAGTTGCAGTACTTCAATACCAAGATAATAGGTTAATTTCCCAAGGTCGCTCATTTCAAACTTTGTTGCCATCCCTTTCTTGAACTCCAAGATTGCATCTAGACTTGAACCCGTAACTAGTAGGTCGTCTACATAAACGGCCACCAACAGAAGATGCTCATTCTCTTGCTTACGGTATAGAGAAGCTTCTTTGGAACACTTCGTGAAGCTCAATTCCTTAAGAATTTTATTAAGCTTGTTATTCCATGCCCTCGGGGCTTGCTTTAGACCGTAAAGTGCTTTATGTAGTTTGTACACCTTGTCTTCACTTCCCTTGACAACAAATCCCTCAGGTTGTGTCACATACACCTCTTCTTGCAATTCTCCATGAAGGAATGCTGTTTTTACATCTAGATGGTGCACTTCCCATCCATTGGAAGCCGCAAGAGCAAGAATGAATCTTATTGTCTCAATACGAGCAACCGGAGCGAACACTTCATCAAAATCTATGCCGTGTCTTTGTACGTAGCCTTTAGCCACTAACCTCGCCTTGTACTTGTTTATACTTTCATCGGAGTTCCTCTTTATCTTGAATACCCACTTTAACCCGATTGGTTTGACTCCATTTGGAAGTTTCTCCAAGCTCCATGTTTTATTCTTAGAAATTGATGAAATCTCTTCGTCACAAGCTTCTCTCCACTCTCTTAACTCTGAGGCTTCACTAAAATCCCATGGTTCTTCGTTAACTTGAAGAAGCAATCTCTCCCCTTCAATCTCAGCTAATAACACATAATCCGCAAGATAACTTGGCCTTTTCTTTGGTCTTGTTGATGGTTCTCGCAAAGAAGGCTGAGATTGCACATTCTCGGCTTCTTCTTCACTTTCAGCCTCAGACTCATTGTTTTCATCGTGATTCTCTGCTTCCCCTGTTTCCTCTGCTTCCTCTATTTCTGTGTTGTTGCGTTCTTCACCTCCATTTATTCCAAAATCTCCGAAGTTAATCTCAAACATACTCGGATCACTACCAATTTCACTACCTGTTTCACTACCTTGTTTACCCCACTTCCAACTTCTGGTTTCATCGAACACTACGTCCCTGCTTACTACAACTTTGCGGGTTGATGGATCAAGTAGCCGGTACGCTTTTGAACCTGGTTCAGTTCCCAGGTGGACTAACATTCGTGTTCTGTCATCCAATTTCTTCAGATTTGCAGCTTCTGATTTTGCGTAGCTGATACATCCAAAAATTCGCAGGTGCTCCACGTTTGGCTTTTTTCCCTTAAAGACCTCATATGGTGTTTGATTAACCAAAGTTCTTGTCGCAATTCGATTTATAAGGTAAGTGGCATGTCTCACAGCTTCTCCCCATAGATAGTTTGGTATAGACATGTGTTTTAAGATACTTCTTGTCATCTCCATCAACGTTCTGTTACTTCTCTCTACTACTCCATTTTGTTGCGGTGAATATGGTGCAGTCAAGTGCCTTTTTATACCTGTGTCATCACAAAACTTTTGAAACTCATGAGATGTGAATTCTCCTCCCCTGTCAGTTCGAAAAGTTTTGATAGAGTTCCCAGTTTCTTGTTCTACCAAGGCCTTGAATCTCTTGAATCTTTCAAATGCATCGCTCTTCTCCTTTAAAAGTAATGTCCACATATACCTGGAGTAGTCGTCGATTAACACGAATATGTATCTGTTTTGGGCAGTTGTGGTGGGTGTAATTGGTCCACAAAGATCACCGTGAACTAGCTCCAGTGTATTAGTAGCACGATAAGAGGTAGCTTGAGGAAACGTTCTCCTTGTTTGTTTTCCAAGCAGACACGATGCACATGTTTCCTTTTCAACAGAGAAGCTTGGCATTCCGGTGACTAGCTCCTTCTTCACCATTGATTTCATGGTTTCAAGGCCAACATGGCCAAGTCTCGCATGCCATTTAGCTGAGTCATTTAACGCCGTTATCTGGAGACATCGTGTGGCTTCTACTTCCATGAGCACCTTGTATAACCGATTCTTTGATCGACTTGCTTTTACCAAAAGCTTCCCGTCTTTATCATTCACCACTAGACTCTCTCCTTTCATCTTGACTTCGCAGCCTGCTTCTGTGGCCTGTCCTAGGCTGATGATATTGCTTCACAGATCTGGTATAAAGTATACATCCGCCAATACCTTGCGTTCTCCATCTCTGCTTACAAATAGAATCGAGCCTTTTCCTTTTATATCTATTCTAGAATCATCACCAAATCTCACTTTTCCCGTAATTGTCTCATCAATCTTAGAAAAATACTCTCGATTCCCTGACATATGGTTACTTGCTCCATTGTCTAAGTACCATACGTTATTTCCATCAGATTGGGCCTCAAAAACACTTGTCTTGATGTTCTGCTCATTGAGATACACTACTTCGTGCACCATTAGCTTTTCACCTTCTTGTGTATCATCACCTTCATTCTCATAAGCTTCTTGAAGTTTAAGCAGCCTATCCGGACAATTTGATGCAAAATGTCCAGTCTTATCACATCTGTAGCAGATCACTTTTGTTTGATCTCTTCCTCCTCCGTTTTGATAGTTTCCGTAGCGGCCACGTCCCCTTCCTCCTTGAAAGAAACGTCCTCCTCTACCACGTCCTCTTCCTGAGTTAAAGCTTCCATGATAGGGTTGTGAATCCGAGTTAACAAACATGAGTTTCCCTTGATCTTCTTGTTGATTTTCTTCTTCATCACAAGTTCTATCTTCATATGTTTTCATCCTTCCTACAATATCCTCAAAGCTAGTTTTATTAAGATCCAGGACTTGCTCCAAGGCTGCGATGATGTGAATAAATCTTTTTCTTGGTAAACTGTTGAGAAACTTCTTCACAAGTTTTGGAGTTTCGAGGTTTACTCCCAACGCTGCAGATTTTGTGGATATCTCCGAGAGTTTACCAGAGAAAGCATCAATTGTGTCAGTGTCTTTCATCTTTATCCTTTCGAATTCAGCCATCAAGGTTTGTAACCTTGCTTCCTTGACTCTCTCAGCCCCTACATGTCTTGATTTGATAGATTCCCAAACTTGCTTTGCATCTCCTAAGTCTCCAACTTGCAGGATAAGTGCTTCTGGTATGGATTGGAATAACAAAGCCCTAGCTATGTCATGTTTCTCTTCATCAGTAGATCCCGGATCGATGGTCTCCCACACTTTATGCACCTTGAGTGTTGCTCGCATACGCATGACCCAAACTGTATAGTTCGTGTCATTGAGCATGGGACATTTAATCGATGAAGAAGAACCACCATCCTTCGGCTTCACGGGAACCACCTCTCCCATGATTCTGTTTCACTACGTATGTCACCTCTCTTGGTGTATGCGTAGGGTTTAAGTTTCAAAACTTTGACGATGTTATCAACACTAGAAAGCTTAATTCAAAAAGTTTATGCTCTGATACCAATTATTGAATTAAGAACTAGGTTAAGAACACAAGATTAAAAGAACTTCTCTTTATTTCTTTAGAAAATAACTCAAAACTAAAGAACTCACAAACTCTCTTAATCTCTCTAAACTCTTATGGCTTACCACAACATTGGTAGCTCATATATATAGCAAACTCAAAAGCCTAACTCCTAATCGTATTAGGTCTTGTACCTTTATATAACTCCTATTGTTATTCTAGATAACTCCTAGCATAACAAACTTTATCCCTCCTATATTTTAGTAACTTATGACTCAAGTTACATTCAAGTTTATCTCAACAGATTTAATTGGCTGACTTTTTTGTGTATGGTTCATTGGTTATGGTGGTAACTAAGAGCATCTCCAATGGTCAGAACCACACATGGGCTCTCACCAATTGTTTAATACTCCCTCCGTTTCACAAAAAGTGTCGTTTTTGATAAATTAATGAGAGTAAAGAACACAAAAGTGTTTATGAAGAATTATAATAGACTCTCATGAGAATAAAGTTATAAATTACATTCTCTTATATAGAGATGAGATTTCCTAATACAGGATAAATATAAATGTAAATAATATATTTAAAGATAATGTTAAACATCCTAAACTTAAGATATGATCACTTCTAGATCCTTCTCGATCTTCATGATTTCCATAATCTTGGGCTTTTCATCTCGACCGTCGATCTCGGTCGATCTCCGGTTCCTCAAATACCCTCCGGCAAGCTCATACGTGGTAACACGTGTGAGATTGGACAAATCTTCAAAATAGCAGCTTTATACCCGGCCGTCGGGTCATCATCGACGTTTATACCCGGTCGTGGGGTCAAAGCGGCTACAAAACCCAGCCGTTGGGTCATCGACGTTTATACCCGGTCGTGGGGTCATCAACGGCGTTTATACCCGGCGTTCGGGTCATCAACGTGTTCACCATCATATTCGTAGTTAATGGAGAACCACATGGAAAATACATCATCGTAGTTATGTATCTCCATCGGTTTTAAATCACAAGTCTTGGTCGCTCTTCGAACCTTTTGTTCATGAAGAAACTTGTGTTAGATTCAAATTCATCACCACCGGATCAGCATCGTATCCATTGGAGTCCTAGTCATCAACTCCACAGCATCGTTGGAGTAGTTTCATCACCATCACCATAAGCAATCATCGGAGGTGTTCATCAATACGGCATCACCATACATAATCACGTGACTTAAGATATCTTTTTCTCCAAGGTACTAAATAAATATTTGACCAAAGCAACAACGTAACAATATCACGTCGTCTCCCTCTTTCTTTCTTTCTTTCTTTTTTTTTTTTTCGTCGTCTCCATTCTTCTTCTTTTTTTTTTCTCGATACACCAAAAGTAAACAGAAATTGAAATCAAAAGAGCATGTTTGATTTTCCAAAGTTGAAAAGTAGTAAATCAAAGAGACGAATCTCGAATCAACATTTTTTTTTTTTCTTCATAGTTACGGAAACAAAGAAAACCTTAACTCCTAGGAATAGGATCAAGACTCTGATACCATGATAAATTGATGAGAGTAAAAAACAAAAAAGTGTTTATGAAGAATTATAATAGACTCTCATAAGATTCATGTTCCAAAATACATCGATATATATAGAGAAAGACTAAACCTAATTTCCTAAATTAAAATAAAGATAAATGTAAAATATACTTTAGAGATAAATGTAAATATTCCAAACTAATATATGATAATCTTCTAGATCCTTCTTGATTTCATGATTTCCTTATTCTTGGGCTTCTCATCTCGACCGTCGATCTCGGTTGATCTCCGGTTCCCCCAATAGTTTTAAGCTTTTAATCTCGTTTCACAAAGAGTGTCGTTTTGTGTTTTTAATGCAGTTTTAAAGACTAATTCTCTTTTTTAACCTCACTATTTTAGCTTATTAATTAGATAGAGTATTATTTAGTGTATTAATAAGGGGTAGAAACGAAATTTGTTTACTTTTCTTAATTTGTGTGAAAAATGTTAGAATGACACTCTTTGTGAAAAAGAGGGAGTATAAATTTTGTCAAATTATTAGATGAGAGCTTGGAGTTTTTTATTTAATTTTTTCATAGTCCAATGGTAGTCTCTCTCAAAAAGAGTTCTTAGGAAAAATTTTATTTTTTAAAATTATTATATTTCATAAAACTTAATAATTATTGCAATTCATAAAATATTGAACATACATTATTTTCAAATATGTAAAAATAGATGTGCAAATAAAAAATCGGAATTTAAGTGTTTTGGTTCTTAAACTTGTGGTTGTGTTTTGGTTCTTAACCTTGTGATTAAGTGTTTTGGTTCTTAAACTTGTAGATAAAGTTTTGAAAATTTGTGGTTATGTGTTTAAGTGTTTTGGTTAAAATTTGGTTACACCACATATATATAATATATCAAAGAGTATGAACATAAAAGAACATTGGAGTGTATGCACATAAAGCTTCCATCACAATAACATGAAGGGAATCCATTAGTTGTTTATCAAGAAACAAAGCTTAATACACACGATTTAAGATTCAAACTAGATCAGATTAGCAAACAACAATCTTGGTTTCATGATTCAAGACTCAAGACTCAAGAAAGTAAGTCTTGCTCAAATTCCACATGGTTACTCTTGTTCCTAGATAGGCTTCCTCAAGCAAGCAAATGCAATTGTTCTATTAAGCAATTAGATCAAATCCTAATATAGGTTCCTGATATACAAACGCATGCAAGAACCAAGAGGTAGTAGTGCAAAATAATGAATACCTTCAGACACATGATTCATCATTAGACAAACTTCAAAACTCCATCCAAGTTTACTACTTCCGGAAGAAGAAAAAAACGAGCTTCTAGAAGACGATGCATACCTCAATTGGCATCAAAGCTTTGGGAATGATCCTGCATTTACAGAGAATCCAATCAGAAACCATGAGAGAAGTTAGAAAATGAAGAAGATCGAAAGAATTATAAAACAGGGGAAGAGGCTAGATTCATACCATATATAAGGTAGAGAGACGAGCTTCTTTCAGCGAGCATAAACTACAAAAAGATCCATGGACCAAAGAAGTTGGACTGAAACATACCACCACCGAAAATGCTCTACCACATCCTTGCATCTTCCCTAATAAACTACCTACACTAAAAAACAACAACAGAATTCATAAAACGTTACAATCAAACACAAGATCACATATTTTCTAGAAATCTAAATTTGCAATTCAAAAGAATCTCTAGCAAGATAACAATATCAAAGAAGATTTCAATTCTAGCCACAACTCTCTAACTACAAAGCAAGTTGAACCGTAAATCAAGTCAGAATTATGGGAGATTACATGAATCGACCACAATCAAGTAAGAAACAACTCCAACGAAGAACCCGAATCATGGAAAAAAACCAGAGACCAGAAGCAAACTAACCCCAACGAAGAACCCGAATTGAAATCCAATCACAAATCTAAATCAAACAGCAAAATTCACCATGATCGAACTCGAATTTCATACCTCGAACAACAATCAGATTTTCAACAATCATACCATTGGAGAAACCCATGTTCTGTCGCCATCGCCGCTAAGGGCATCTCCAACCCTACTTATAGTAAAAATGCAAAATTCTTCTCCAACCCTACTCTATAATTGACTCTAAAATAGAGATTTCTGCATATTAACTCTATATATAGAGCAACTCTATTCTCAACTCTATTTTTGAGTTCAACTTTTTTAGTTTATACTTTAGTCCCTCAAATTTAAACTTTTTTATTTAATACATATAATCATTTTATAAACAACAATTACAACACCCAATGTTTTTTTATATTTTGTTAAAAATCGTCACCCAATGTTGACACGTACGCGTTTTTTTTTTTTATCAAAAAAAATCGAAGGTTGAGAACACGCCACGTCATCGACTCTCATACAACTCAAGATTTCTCTCAAGAGAGATGTCTCTCTTAGTTTTGATTTATTTTTGAAGATTTTTTTCAAGAGAACCTGATGTGAGAGCCCAATAAAACATCCATTGGAGATGCTCTAAAAGCTGCAAATTACAAAATCTCAAGGACATGGGTTTGAATATCACCAATTTTTGGTTAGAGATAGACAACTTATCTTTTAAACAATTTTTGGAAATTTGTAATGGTTTGGAGCAAAACAGTGGTGGATGTCATTGAGCATTTATCGCCTTATCAGCTTCTTTTGAACAATAGCCGCTCTACAGAAATAGAAGAACAAAACAATCCCAAAATAATCCCAACGACAAATGCTGCCACAGTAAATCCACCTAGTGCCGCTATAATAACAACTTTACCTCTAGAAGCAGTCTTACATTCATCCAGAGGCTTACCACACAAACCCGTGTTATTAGCAAAATTCTCTGAGTTAATGCTGGTGCTTTTGAACGTTGGGATAGGACCTGAGAGACGATTGTTAGCCACAGAGAACGTTTTGAGCCGTCCAAGTTTCACTAGCTCGGGAGGTAGCTGACCCGTGAACTGGTTATTCTGAAGCATAAGAGAGTTCAAAAAGGTAATGTTTGCGATATTGACAGGGATTCCACCAGTGAAACTATTGAAGGAGAGGTCCAAAGTTGTAACAAGTGGAATCACATCTGTAAGGTTTGATGGTAAAGGTCCAGAGAAGTTGTTTCTAGAAATATCTAAACCTACCAAATCAGAACATTGCTTAATCCCAAGAGGAAACACTCCTCTAAGACCATAACCAGAGAGCTTAATACTCAAAACCCTATTCTCATCATCATGCCAACAAGTCACACCACTAAACTTACAGATATAACCATAAGCCTCGTTGCCAAAAACCCAACTCGATAAATAGCTATTTGGATCCTCTACTTGAGATTTAAAGGTCCTCAAGCAATCTACGTCGGCCTGATTTGCATCGATCAAGGTACGCAGTAGCAGCAAACAGAGACAATTCCCAAGGAATATTGCAAAGACTAGCCTACTACCCACCACCATCATATACCCTGGAACCAAATAATCACATAATCAGAAATTATAGATAGCAACAACGAAACTAGATATTCTTCACATAAAAATGAAGAGTGAGTTGACTTAAAAACCAATGATACCTCACGAAAATTTGCAGGAAATTCTAAGGAACTCACAAATCAAAATCAGAAATTCTTAGTCGTGGCGTGGTGATCTTGTCTTGTGCATGAGTGTTGTGTATTTCTGAATGATGAAAGGATTTTGAATGATATAATAAAAAGGAATGGAGTCGTCGGGTGTATAGACTTGGATGGTCGTTGCCTTTTCGAAGAATCAAAGTTCGTGTAGAATGGTGTAAACACATACTGATGAAGTGATGAGACTGATGCAATGACTCAAACCACATCTGTCTTTGCGTGTTAAATGTTTATTTCATCTTTTTTCTTTTTGACTTTTCAACATCATATCATCAAATTGTTTTGGAAATGGAACAATTGGTATGTGGCTTTTTAAATCGTTTTAAATAATTTATTTATATGAAATCTTACATAAATTAACTACCAAAAAGGCGAGGTTTATTTACAATAAATGGAAATAAGCTTGAAAAAAAAAAAACCAAAAACAAAATTATCAAACTCCTTTAGCTTGAAATCACGCACATTTGTAGGAAGCTTCAGAGACTAGTGGATTCTTGGTACAGAATGGTGACTACCCTAATGCAAACCGCTCTCTCAATGACTCGTAAAAGGTGGCTAGTCGAATGGTAGATATGCTTATGTTTTCTCTCGTTACGTTCACGCCAAACGTAACATATCGTCGTTTAGAAAACCAATGGAAGCAAAATGAAGGTGAGTTTATGTATCATAGTGAGGATATGTGATACTCCGAAGTGTAATCTCCAAATCCGGATCAACTTCCTCTTCCCCGAAATCACCCACAACATCCAGCCAAATCGTGTAAATATAAGGGCAAGCCAAAAAAAGACTCAGAAGAGACAAGGCTTGACACATCCCAACGTAACAGTCGCGTATGAGTTCCAGTTGAGAGCCTATCCTTGATCGCTAACCAAACTATTTTTTCTCTTGGTGTAGTCTTTGACAAATATCAGTGTATAACCCAACTATATTTTCATTGTTGCTCTTATTAAAATAAAAATCATATATAAATTTTGCATTCGAAAAATTTACACACATATATTTAATATCAACCAACGATACAGAAGAAGTAGGGAGAGAAAGAGGACGCTTCAGGTTTCTCGTTCTTCTGGGTAATTCAGACAAGAAAACGACGTGACGACTTTGACTTATTCATGTGTGAACGACGTGTAGAGATCTCGAATCTCTTCGAAAGAATCATCATTACTCTATCGTCGCCGGAAAGACAGTAGTTGTGGTGATTAAATCTAAGCCGTCCATTGACTATAGTTGAATTAAAAACGTTGATCAAGAATCTGACACCATCAACCTCTTTATCTTCTCTGAGAAAAACATTTACTTAATTTTCACCGATCTCCGCCTTCACCGTTGTCCTTATCGGCTGGTTGGATACTTTTTTAACTTCTAAAAATGTTTGGTTTGGTTGTTAGTTATTTTTTTTACCAAAATAAATGTTGTATGTGACAAACAATTAAATAATGAAAAATGTTTTGAACGTCAAACGTCAGCATAGTTCACTAAAGCCCTTATTAATAATGAAAATAAGTTTACAAAAATTGAGTTAAAAATAAGCAAAACATAACTAAAAATAAATTGTGAGGGATACTAACTTGTTACATCCATTCAATGAGAATGGACTTGTTGATTTGGTGTTTTTATCATCTTTGAACATTTTTTAGAAGAAGCTCATATAGTTTCATCCGATGAATAATATCAGTCTATGAAAAAATGTGCAATCTAGTTTTCCTCCATTATAACACAGCCTTAAGCATGAAGCCAAGCTTCGTTAACCGGTTAAAGATTGGGTGTTTGGTAAATAAGTTAAGAAAATTAAAGAGTGATGATACACATAGATGCTGAAGATACCAATTAATGGGAAAAGAAAAAAAAGGAGGAAAAAGTATAAATTACAAGTTCCCGGCAGCTTCAGACAAACTCACGTGACACAAACTTTAAAGGATTTGACTAGAGCCACTTAAGTCGTCTGGTCCGAGCCATATGATAGTGAAGAACGAGCCATTAAACAACACCTGTGCTCTCACGTGCTTACTAGACTCAAGTAAAATTGGGTGTGCTTAATAAAGTGTCTGTTATAAATGGTCACTTTGCTTTTCTGTTTGCCTCTCTTCTACTTTCCTCTTTCCTTTTTAGGGATTTCACTTTCCTCTTCTCTCTCTCTCTCTTTCTCTCTGCCTAACCTCGAATTTTCTCGATCGCTCTTCACCATGGATCTACGATCTTCTGGTGCTTCTTGAAGATTTTTAATCTCTTCTCTTTAGGGATTGTTCTTCGTTTGATTTTCCAGGTAAAGTTGCTTTTTTTCTTCTTCTCTTGAGGTTTATACTTTTTGTTTTGCTCTTGTTTCGTGTTCGAGTTCGTCTTCACTGTAGCTAGGGTTTGTTAAATTTCTCCATGAATAGCTCAAAATTTCTGCTAAGACTTTGAATTTTGCTCTTGAGCTTGCTTGGGTTATGGATTGTGTAGGGATTTCACAGAATCAGTGAATCAATCAGCTAGCTTTTTTCCTCTCTCATTTCGTCATCTACTGTTTTCTTAATCTGATATTTTTCTTGAATCGGTAGAATTTTTTGGGGGTTTCTTGTTTCTTTGTGTTTACTTGCCTTGTAGGCCATTTTCTTACATAGTTGTCCACTTTGACTTGTTCAGTTTTGTTTTTATCTTGTCATTGGATAGTTTTGACTGATCTTTGTTTCTCTGTTCTTGATGATTTATTTTTGTAGTTGTTTGTCGTTTGGGATTTTGTGGAGCTTTACTTGCAGCTTGGAGGTTGGACTTGTTTGAATTGGTAACAACATTTTGCGTTTAAAGTTTTATATTTTATTCTTCATGTGTGATTATTATGCAGTATTAACATTGTCTCTGGTCTCTAATGTCGTTATACTCATGTTTGTTTTTATTTGTTTAAGACTATTTAATTCGTACTTAAATTTCCATTTTGTTTAGCTCTTTTGTGATGGAGGATACACGGTCAGTTGCTTCGCTCATGGACTCTACATCGTCTAAGATTCAGCAGCTTCAGAAGGCGTTTGCTGAACTTGAAAGTCAGCGTGCTGTAACGCTTAATCTGAAGTGGAAGGAACTTGAGGAGCATTTTCATGGGCTTGAGAGGTCTTTGAAGAGACGGTTTCATGAGCTTGAAGATCAAGAAAAAGAGTACGAAACCAAAACAAGGAAAGCTCAAGAACTGTTGGAGATAAAGAAGGCAGCTGTTGAGGCTAAGGAGAAGGCGTCGCTTGAAAGGCTTCAGAAGAAGAGAGACGCAGCTATGTTTACTATAAACAGTGCTTTAGATAAGTACAATAACGCTCCCATCAGTAAACCTTCTGTTGGTGAACGTTGGCCACAAAATGCTGTAGGGGATTCTTCCAATGCCTTTGCTGCTGATAGTATCACCGATGATAATCCGGATGGTACTGTGCAAGATGTTCAGATCTCACCTGTGATGGGAAATTTTGAGGTGAAGGCTTATCCACAGTTACTGAAACTGTGCGGGGATATGGACTCAGCAGGGCTCCATAAGTTTGTATCAGATAACCGCAAGAACCTTGCATCACTAAAGGAGGAGATTCCTATGGCGTTCAGGGCTGCAGCAAACCCAGCCAGCTTAGTGTTGGACTCTTTGGAAGGGTTTTACCCTATGGAGGCACCAACCGCTGATGGAAAGAAAGACGCTAACCTCTTAGGCATGCGCAGAACCTGTATCATGTTGATGGAGTGCCTTAGCATACTGTTATCTGGTCTGGACCCCAACTCCCTTGCTGCTGTTCTCTCACAGAATGTTAAGCGTAGAGCCAAAAGTATTGCAGAAGGATGGAATCCACTGCTGCAGTCTCTTGACATGGATGCTTGCAATGGTAATTCTTTGGAGGCTCATGCATTCCTGCAACTGCTGGCCAGTTTTGCTATTGTTGGTGACTTTAAAGAGGATGAACTCTTAAAGCTGATCCCCATGGTTTCACGTCGCCGTCAGGCAGCTGAGCTCTGCCGTTCACTTGGATTAGCTGAAAAAATGCCTGGTTTGTTCTCTAATTTTCAGGATATGGCTGATTATCTTTACATGCTATGACATTTTGATGAGACGCTTGATATTTGGTATTTAGTGAATAGCTGGAAAGGGTCTCTGGTCAAGGACATAAACATGACATGGCTTTATACGTTTTTACATTTTAAATTCTCCACCTTCACCATTGATCTTAATCTTTGATTTCACTGCTCCTATTATCCCAGGTGTGATTGAAGTTCTCGTGAACAGTGGAAAACAGATTGATGCGGTTAATTTGGCATTTGCGTTTGAACTCACAGAACAGTTCTCACCTGTCTCATTACTGAAATCTTACTTGACTGAGGCAAGGAGATCTTCCACCCAAGGCAGACCTGGCAATGCATCTCCTGCTGTTCAGGCAAGTGTTCCCTGACTTGATAACTTGCATTATTCATTACTTGTAAGAGAAAATGAAGGGCTATGCTAATGCACGTTACCTATAGTTTGATCTTTTCATGAACTATTGTTACCTTTTCTCGAGCATCTGGCTCTTTGGCGGCAAGTAAATCACCTCACTTGAACATCTCCAAGCTGTGTTCAGTTGCTATATTGTTTACTCAAGACTTTCTTAAAGCCTTTGAAACTTAAAACCAATGCATTCATTATCAATTACTTTAGGCGTATTACGTATATAGTACTTGATGAATGCAAGATTTAGGCGCATATTATCATAATAATTATATGTGTACCAATGCAGGATGAGTTCAATGAGCGAGAGCTTACAGGGCTCAAAACCGTGATAAAGTGTATCGAAGAGCATAACCTGGAAGAGCAGTACCCAGCTGAGCCACTTCACAAGCGGATTCTCCAGCTCGAGAAAGCCAAAGCAGACAAAAAGAGAGCAACAGAACCCACAAAGCCTCAACCAAAACGACCACGTGGTGCTCAACCCCGAGTCCCCGACAACAACAACAACAACATCAAGACAGGATACGGAAGAGTCATCCCTGAAAGGTATCCACAGTATGTGTATGACAACAGACCGTTCCTTAGCGGTCCAATCATGGCAGCACAAGCTCCACCACCTCCTCCTCAGACTTACACTTTCAGTCCCGCTCCTGCACACGGAAACTTCTACGGAAACTGCTATCAGTACCAGGCTCCTCCTCCTCCTGCTTACTTTCACTAGTGATAAAAAAAAAAGGTGAACGGTGAAATGTGACTGTGACTCTGTGACTCCCCTTTGGTTGTTAACTTGTGGCAGCTCTTTTTAACTCCTCTCTCCATTTAGTTCTTTCCCTTTTGATGTTGTGGTGTACGGATGATTTTAGTATTTTTAAGGATCAACCCTACTCAAAACAAATATACTCAGATTTTCTATTAATATCTTAATGTTGTATTATTATTAATTTTTTTCCTTTAACCATCACAAGAGGTAAAATTACAATACTAACCCCATTTTTGAATTTCGAAAATATCTTTATTCTCTCAGTCCTACGAAATTTCCAATTCTCTCGCTCTCTCATATCTCCCGCCAACAATCGAAATGAGAATCGCCGAGATCACAACGCCGGACCTCCGATTACATCACCGGGAAACCGATTCTCACTCTCACCATCCTCTTCTCTCCGAGATCGAGCTTTTGATTCAACAATCTGAAGCCATTTCCAAAAATCAGCCGCTACCTCAATCTCTCCCTATTTCTCTTAGACAATCCCTAACTCGGCTGAGTCAACTCGCTCCTTTTCCCGATAACTCCTTCAAGCTCACCATATGGAAGCTCAGCTTTCGTCTCTGGAACGCTTGTGTTGATCTCTCTAACGCCGCCTCTCTACAATCCTCTTCAACCTCCGCTGAGAGCATCGCGAATCTCAGACATGTTGCCGCCGATATGCTATTTCTCGCTAAGGATGTTACCGGAGTTCCATCTCCGACGATTAAGTCTTCTCTCTTCTACTATAGGACCGGTCTCGTTTATCACAGTCTCAAGAAATTTGATCTCGCCTCCGGTTGCTTTGAGAGAGCAACCGAAATCGTTTCGAAAATTGATATCACGAAAATTTCCGATGCCGGAGAAAAGAAACTGTTTCTGGATCTAAACCTAGCTAGATCTCGAACTGCCTGGGGAATTTCTGATAGGAATTTAGCTGTGACGTTGCTCAATCGAGCGAAGAATATGTTGTTTGGTTCACCGGATCATTACAAATCGCTCTCAAATCAATTCCTTGCGTTTGGTAAAAGCTCTTTGTCTAGAGATGACGACGATTGCAGTCTAAACGATGCTCTTAGGCTCATGAATGAAGCATTGGATCTTTGTGAGAAGGGATTAGGTACTGCAAAAACTCGGGAAGATACTATGGAGTTCACGGGGATGAGAATCAAAACTCTGCGTTTCATATCGGCAGTGCATTTGCAGAAGGGAGAGTTCGAGAATGTGATAAAATGTGTGAAAGTTCTCAGGAATGGAGGAAATGGTAGTGATGGAGCAGATCAACATGCTTCATTACCTGTGTTGGCGATGAAGGCTTGGTTAGGGCTTGGGAGACATAGTGAGGCAGAGAAGGAGCTGAGAGGTATGGTGGGAAACAATGATATTCCAGAGGCTGTGTGGGTATCTGCTGTGGAAGCATATTTTGAGGTGGTGGGAACTGCTGGAGCAGAAACTGCAAAGGGTGTGTTCTTAGGTTTGCTGGGAAGGTGTCATGTTAGTGCAAAGGCGGCGCTTAGAGTGGCTCACCGGGTGCTTGGTGAGAGTAGGGGAGGTGATAATGGTTCGAGAATTAGGGCAAATGTTGTGGCTCAGCTCGTATCAGACGAGAGAGTTGTTGCTCTCTTTGCTGGTGAAGCAGTGACCAAGGAGAGGAAGGCAATACATTCTGTTCTCTGGAACAGGTATGTTTTTCGCCATTCAACTTTCATCTCCCTTGGTTACATACTTACATTGGTGTATCAAATTTATTGCATCTTAGTTAACTGAGTGATTCAAATTGGACACAGCGATTGATAGGTTTCTGTTGTTTTTTTTTTTAATGTATGTCCTGGGGATCTAATATGGGTATCTTCTGATGTTTACAGTGCTTCAGATCATTTCCGTGCTAAAGATTATGAGACAAGTGCAGAGATGTTTGAGAAGTCAATGCTCTATATTCCACATGATATAGAAAATAGAGTTTTCAGGGCCAAAGGCTTCAGGGTTTTGTGTCTTTGCTACCTTGGGCTCTCTCAGCTGGATCGAGCTCTTGAATACATAGAAGAAGCTGAAAAGGTATACATTTTTCTATGGAACTTCTACTTTCAACGGTTCTCCTAGTTGGATCTTTCCACTCAGAATTGCTAACTAGTTTTCTGTCTCTGCAGCTTGAGCCCAATATTGCTTGCTCTTTTCTTAAGGTATACTGTCTTTTTCTCCACCGTACAATTTATATGTATCTGGAGATTGTTTGACAAAAATCGTTTTAAGCAACTTCTCTTTGCTCCTGATTCTTGCAGTTCAAGATCTACCTGCAAAAGAAGGATCACAGTTGTGCCATCGCTCAGATCGATGCAATGACGTCCTGCCTTGACTTTTCTCCAGATTATCTTTCCCTTTCAGCGCATGAAGCTATTTCTTGCCAAGCGCTTCCAGTTGCTGTTGCTTCTCTTTCCAAGTTTCTCAGTTTCTATATCTCTGGAAAAACAATGCCAACCACAGAGGTCGTGGTCTTTCGTACCTTAATCACTATATTGACTCAAGACATTGGCAGCGAAACCGAAGCTCTTAACTTTATGTTGCAAGCTCAGAGCAGGGCATCTAAGCTTGGGACAGAGTGTTTCTTTGGATCAGGAGAGACTGGAAAGCGAGAACGGAACTGGTTTGCTGTAACTTGCTGGAACCTTGGGTCAAGATGTGGGAATGCAAAGAAGTATGAGCTCTGTGGTGAATTCTTGAGGCTGGCATCGGAATTTTACAGCTATATGATGGATACTGATGAGTCTGGAGAAAACAAAATGATGATTTGCAGGTCCATAATACTAAATGTCACCGCTATGATTGCTTTGGAGAAGCAAAACAAGAGCGCACTGACTGAAACTCAAGTGAAACTTGCTGCAGAATTGCTCGTGAGAGCAGGAAAGGTCTTATCCTCCTCTTTATTAATATTACCTGCTGAGTTTTACCTTTCAGTTTCACTGATGTTTGGTTAGATATGTGCAGATTATGTCTTCTTCGCTCTCAAATGGTAAAGATTGTATCATGGAGCCAGAACTCATCTTCATGTACACCTTACTTGCGTATGACATACACGGAAGGCTCAACAATTCGGCATTCCAGTTACTTGTGGTAAAGACATTTGCTGGTTCCAAGTCTTGTCATTACAATTATCTTCTCCAACTTGGAATTTTCGCCTCTCAAAGCCCTCAGTCCAACCCAGACGTGTCAACATTTGCTCTTAACGAATGCCTATCCGCTCTGATCGCATCCGCTTCACCAGATTACCCAACCATAGCTCTCATAATCAGGAAGCTGATCTTCATATCCAGCATCCACAAAGGCGATACAAACGATGAAGAAGCAATTTTAAAGATGTACAAACAGGCATACAGAATCATGGTTGGGTTAAAGGAAGGGGAATACCCGACTGAAGAAGGGAAATGGCTCGCAATGACAGCTTGGAACCGAGCAGCATTGCCCGTGAGGTTAGGACAGTTTGAGACCGCTAAAAAATGGCTGAGCATGGGTTTGGAAATAGCTGAGAAGGTTACAGGTATGGATACTTATAAAGCTTGTATGCAGGATTACTTGGCTGGTTTTCAGACCAAAGTTTCTTCTGCTTAGTGTCTTTCATATTAACTAACTGTCTACATAGTTGAAATGTCCATGAAATATCTGAGATATAGAATTGTTAAAGATGTTTAGTTTATATATAGTCAACACCAAATCCACTAGAAAACCTTATTAAAACATGTATTACAAATATTTATCTAATCGGGATTAGTAGATCCTAAACATCCATCTAAGTTTGATTAGGTTGTTTTCCTAGCATCCAGCAAACATTTTCTGCTCTAACATCATAACATTCATCTCTCATGGGAGTTATGCATATCTTACTAAGATCAAAATTCATTTGATTTAGATTTTATGACAGAGAGAGAGTTTGGTGGTCGTGTAGAGTTATTACGAATTCGCTTAGTTTTAGGTGGAGGCCTAAACTAAGGACTGACATAGGATCTTGCCAAGTTTGATCAAATGAGGTCGTTTACTTTTGAGAAGAGACGACTTCACCATTTTCTTCTACAGTACTTCCAGAAATATATCTTTGACCGTCTAATCTAATTTATCTAATCCTTACACTAAGTAGTTGCTGAATAGTTCTAGTCGACAGACGGGCAGAATTAATATTATCCAAAAGCTATGGGGTTACGCAAGAAAACTAGATTAACACTTCAATGACAAAGGAAAAAAAAAAACACATTTATTTTTACGACCGTTGAAATTCTGTTTTCTTTTGCTTAAAATTGGTCCGTCGACAAAATTTGTCCAATTGAAACCTTCTTTTTTGCATATTTCTTTCATACTTCCGTCACTACTTATATATTTAGTCGGATTTTCCCTAAAATATGATTTGAGAGACAAAAGATAAAGTAGCTCAAACATAGTTTCCTTTTGCAATTCTAATCCGTTGACTAATGTTGTTCTCCTGAAATCCGTCAACTTGAAATTTTTCTTCTAATTTACAGATTTCTAATTATTTTTATATTATATTTCAATTGAATAGTGGAAAAATAAAACACGCTATGGGGTTGCTAAAAGCCTAAATCCGATAACTGTATATAAATTATTGTAACTATACTATAGTAAGTAGTAACCACCAAACGTGGGATTTCTCCTTTCTCTGTTGTTGGAAAGTTTCATAATGGAGAAGAGATTTTGTATTCAAAACTCACCTCTGCTATCATTTCTTCTTGTTCTGCTTCTCTTCATCTCCAACTGTTTTGCTTCAAGTCAAAATGATGAAGTTGATGAACAAGTTCGGGTCAGGGTAGGGTTGGTTTTGGATTTGGGTTCCGTGGAAGGGAAGATAGTGAGAAGCTCTGTTTCTATGGCGCTTTCCGATTTCTACGCCATTCACAATGATTACAAAACAAGAGTCTCTCTCTCAGTCAGAAACTCTCATGGAGAGCCTCTTCTTACTCTCTCTTCTGGTACATACTCCATTAATCTACATAAACTCTTTTCTTCTCTGTCTCCATTCATAGTCTTAATCTTGGTGTTTTATCTTTTGTGAATGAAACAGCTGTAGATCTATTGCAAACTGAAGGAGTAGAAGCGATTATTGGCGGGAATTCGTTGTTGGAAGCAAAGCTTTTAGGGGAACTTGGAGAGAAAGCTAGGGTTCCTATGATTTCACTTGACTCTCCTATTTCATGTTCATTGAGTAAATACAGTCACTTGATCCAAGCCACACATGATTCCACCTCAGAGGCTAAGGGGATTACATCTTTTATTAATGGGTTTGATTGGAACAGTGTTGCTCTTGTTTATGAAGATCATGATGATTGGAAAGACTCTATGCAACTTCTTGTGGACCATTTCCATGAGAACAATGTTCGTATAAAGTCCAAGATTGGTTTTACTGTCTCTTCGAGTGAGGATTCTATGATGGATCGGTTACGGAAGCTTAACGCCTTGGGAACAACTGTCTTTGTTGTTCACTTGTCGAAAGTTATGGTAACTTATCTCTTCCCATGTGCTGAGAAATTAGGGATGATGGGTGAAGGTTTTGCTTGGATTCTCACTGCCAAAAGCATGAACAGATTTCATGAGTCCATTGATGATTTCGCAAAGGAGACAATGGAAGGTGTGGTTGGTTTCAAATCTTACATTCCAATGTCAAAAGAGGTTCACAATTTCACTTTGAGGTGGAGAAAATCACTGCATGTTGAAGAAGTTATTGGGACTGAGATTACTCGGTTGAGCATCTCTGGTATTTGGGCTCACGATATCGCTTGGGCTCTGGCGAGTGCAGCGGAAGTTATAAGGATGCCAAATGTAACATCAACTCTCCTTGAGGCAATCACAGAGAGTAAATTTAAAGGTTTGAGTGGTGACTTCCAATTAGATGATAGGAAGTTGTTATCAGACAAGTTTGAGATTGTGAATATGATAGGATCAGGTGAGAGAAGGATAGGATTCTGGAATTTTAATGGTAGTTTTAGCAATAGAAGACATTTATCATCTACTCATAACAATCTTGAGACCATAATCTGGCCTGGTGGCTCTACTCAAAGTCCAAAAGGGAGTAGTCTAAAACAGAGCGATAGAAAAAAGCTGAGGGTTTTGGTTACGTCTAGCAATAGATTCCCAAGACTGGTGAATGTAACAACTGACCCAGTAACACATGATATAATAAATGTCGATGGGTTCTGTATAGAAGTCTTTAATGCTTCCATTGCACCTTTTAACTATGAAGTGGAGTACATACGTTGGCGCAATGGAAGTAACTACGACAATCTTGCATATGTACTTAATAGCCAGGTACAACCATGGCTCAATTTACGATTATAAGTACTTTTTCATCTATGTAGAGTATGGAAACTAAACCAATTCTATTAAAATTTTTGTGTTGCATCCCACAGAAAGACAAATATGATGCGGCCGTGGGAGATATTACTATCACTTGGAATAGATCGACATACGTTGATTTCACGTTGCCATTCACCGAAATGGGTCTTGGAATCGTAGCACTCAAGGAGAGAAGTATGTGGGTGTTCTTGCAGCCTCTAACACCAAACCTTTGGATAACAAGTGCATCTTTCTTTGTTTTGATAGGCATTATAGTTTGGTTGATAGAAAGACATGAGAACCCTGAGTTCCAGGGATCTTGGTCCCAACAGATTGGAGTTATGCTTTGGTTTGGGTTCTCTACCCTTGTTTATGCTCATAGTAAGTAATTGCCTTTGCACATTTGTATATGCCAATCTTGGTCAGAAGAGATTGGAGTGATTGTATACTTAAGTTTTCACACTTGGCTGCTTACTATGTGTGACAGGGGAGAGGCTAAACCACAACTTATCAAGATTTGTAGTTACAGTTTGGATATTTGCGGTGCTCATACTGGTAACAAGTTACACTGCAACATTGACATCAATGATGACGGTGCAATCGATACGATTCAACTCTAATAAAAACTATGTGGGTCACCTCTCCGGTTCCCTCATCGCAAAAGCGGCCCTCACCAATTCCAGCATGCAAACAATGAGATCACTGGGTCTCAATACTTCAGACGATTATGCTCGAGCCTTGTTGGACAAAAATGTCTCACTTATTGTTAGTGAGTTGCCATACCTCAAAGTCCTTTTTCGCGATTACCCTAAAGATTTTCTCATGGTCAAGAAACAATATACAACCAATGGTTTTGGCTTTGTATGTCTCCTTCTTGTGCATCATCAGTTTCCTTGCTTTTCATCTTTGTTTTTCTTACTTGTTGAAAAAATATGTTTGTTTATTAAACTACGTTACAGATGTTCCAGAAGGGCTCCGAGTTGGTGCATAATGTTTCTCGGGAGATCTCGAAGCTAAGGACGAGTGAGAGACTAAACGAGATGGAGAGAAGATGGTTTGAAAAACAGTCCTCATACCCAACGGATGATAAATCAAATCCTCTAACCCTTGATAGATTCCGCGGTCTGTTTATGATCACTGGAGTTTCATTCGCTTTCTCTCTTGCAGTACTTTTCATCCTCTGGCTCCGAGAAAAATGGGATATTATTGTGCATTCGGTCAATATATTCCTCTCACGACGACTTAGACATTTCAGGATCATCTTCACAAGAACTATCCATCCTAGCCCCCTCGATAACACTATTGGCGAGAATGCTATTCAAATGGCTCAACGTAACAGACGATAGGAACTGATTAAGTAAGAGCAAACAATTGTTGTTTCTATATCTGACTCTGACCTTGGAGCCTCACAGAACAACCTTGCCGTTCTTCCTCCAATGGTCCACTAGTTCTTGATCCAAACTGGCTTGGGATTGAAAGTATAAATGATTGTTAGACCAATTTGTAAATTATCGTGTGATCATATTTGGAACCACTTTATGATTTTGTTTTTGCATGATATGTTTCTCACTTTGATTAATTTGTGGATAGCGTTTTCAAAATGGTTAGGTTCTCTTATGTTAGATCCGCTAGGATCCATTTTTAAACAGTTAATTAAGTAAATGACTAAAATAAACCTGATTTATTTAATATTTGCCAAAAAATGTACCCGAATTTTTTTCAAAAAAATAAACAAATTGGTTTATCGTTGAAATAAAAAGCATGACCTGTTTTATTTGTTCCGAATCACCCCCTTTCGTTGTAACGGTTATCAACCTCGTTAACCTTTACTTAAACATGGCTAGAACAGTTAGAGACCACAAAAAAGTGGCTGAGCATCGGTTTGGAAATCGCTGAGAAGGTTAAAGGTATGGATACTTATAAAGCTTGTATGCAGGAGGATTACTTGGCTGGTTTTCAGACCAAAGTTTCTTTCATATTAAGTTACTAACCAACCGTCTACATAATTTAATTGTCCATGAAATAAATCGAGATAAAGAATTGTTGAAGATGATTAGTTTACATATATAGTCCACACCAAATCTGCTAGAGAAACAACCTATTTGAACATGTATTACAACTATATATCTATTCGGGATTAATAGATCCTAAAACATCCATCTAAGTTTGATTAGGTTGTTTTCCTAACATCTAGCAAAACATGATCTCCTCTAAGATCATAACATGATCTCTCATGGGAGTTAATGTTATGCAAATCTTACTAAGATCAAAATTCATTTGACCGTAAATTTTATGATAGAAAGAGGTTGGTGGTCTTGTATAGTCATTACGGATTCACTTAGTTTTAGGTGGAGGTCTAGAATTAAGGAAGGACATAGGATGCTAAATAAGTTTGATCATACGAATTCGTTTACTTTTGAGTTGAGACGCCTTACACTATTCTCCTATGCTTCTAGATTGATGTCTATAATCCTTCCGCTAAGTACTTGTTGAATAGTTCTTGTCGGCAAAGGATAAATACTCTCCAAAATCTATGATGCTGAAAGATGTTTGTTTTCTTTTGCTTAAAATTGACTCTTTGACAAATTCTGTCCAATAGAATCTTCATTTTTCATATTGTTCTTTCTTACTTTCGGCACTAAACATTATACATTTTTCCTAAAATAATGGCTTGAGAGAAAAAGGAGTAGCCAACCTTAATACTCCACACCGAATTTTCTCTTAAATTGTATTCGGTTGACTAATGTTATATCCTCCTAAAAATTCGTTAACTTTGAATTTTTCTTCTTCTAATATACGATTTTTTTTTTTTATTACATGTGAATAGAATAGAGAAAATGTAAAACACGGCATGGGTAGGCTAAAACCGTTTATATAAAATAATAATAATGATGTGTAAAGCAGCAAACGTGTAGTCTCTCCTTCCTCTTTAGTTAGAAAGTTTTTTAATGGAGAGATTTTGCATTCAAAACTCATTTCTTCTTGTTCTGCTTTTCTTCATCTCCAACTGTTTTGCTTCGAGTCAAAACAACGATGATGATGAACGTATTCAGGTCCGGGTCGGGTTGGTTTTGGATTTGGGTTCCTTGGAAGGGAAGATAGTGAGAAGCTCTGTTTCCATGGCGCTTTCCGATTTCTACGCTATTAACAATGACTACAAAACAAGAGTCTCTCTTTTAGTCAGAGATTCTCATGGAGAGCCTCTCCTTGGTCTTGCTTCTGGTACATACTTCATTGATCTTGAACCTCTCAACATAGATCACCTTCTTCTCTGTATCCATTTTTGTTTTGTGATTATTCATATACACTCACAATCTTTGTCAATGAAACAGTTGTAGATTTGCTGAAAACAGAAGGAGTGGAAGTGATAATTGGCGGTAACTCGTTGCTAGAAGCGAAGCTTTTGGCGGAACTTGGAGAGAGAGCTAGGGTTCCTGTGATTTCACTTAACTCTCCCATGTCATTGTCATTGAGCAAATACACGCACTTGATCCAAGCCACACATGACTCTGCCTCTGAGGTTAAGGGAATTACAGCTTTCCTCCATGGGTTTGATTGGAACAGTGTTGCTCTTGTTTATGAAGATGACGATGACTGGAGAGAGAGTATGCATTTTATGGTAGACCATTTCCATGAGAACAACGTTCGTGTACAGTCCAAGGTTGGTTTTAGTGTCTCTTCGAGTGAGGATTCTTTGATGGATCGGTTACGGAAGCTTAAGGACTTGGGAACAACAGTCTTTGTTGTTCATTTGTCTGAAGTTCTTGCAACTCGTCTCTTCCCATGTGCTGAGAAATTAGGGTTGATGGGTGAAGGGTTTGCTTGGATTCTAACTGCCAAAAGCATGAGCAGTTTACATGAGTCCATTGATGATTTCGCAAAGGAGGCAATGGAAGGTGTGGTTGGTTTCAAGTCTTATATACCAATGTCAAAAGAGCTTCACAACTTCACTTTGAGATGGAGGAAATCACTCCATGTTGAAGAAGTTACTGGGAGTGAGATTACTCGGTTGAGTATCTCTGGCGTATGGGCTCACGATATCGCTTGGGCTCTGGCGAGTGCAGCTGAAGTTACAAGGATGCCAAATGTATCATCAACTCTCCTTGAGGCAATCTCAGAGAGTAGATTTAAGGGTTTGAGTGGTGATTTCCAGTTGCATGATAAGAAGTTGTTATCAAAAAAGTTTGAGATTGTGAATATGATAGGATCAGGTGAGAGAAGGGTAGGATTCTGGAATTCTAATGGTAGTTTCAGCAATAGAAGACATTTATCTTCTACTCATGACAAGCTGGAGACCATCATTTGGCCCGGTGGGTCTGCTCAAAGTCCGAAAGGGAGTAGTCTAAGAGAGAGCGGTAGAAAAAAGCTGAGGGTTTTGGTTACATCTAGCAATAGATTCCCAAGACTGATGAAGGTAGAGACTGATCCAGTAACAAATGCTATAACAATTGTCGAAGGGTTCTGTATAGAGGTCTTTCAGGCATCCATTGCACCTTTCAACTATGAAGTGGAGTACATACGTTGGCTCAATGGAACTAACTACACCAAGCTTGCATATGCACTTCATAGCCAGGTACTAACCATGGCTCGATTTTACGATTGCAAGTACTTTTAAAAAAATTTTAAATTTATGTAGACTGCGTGTGGTAACTGAATGAATTCCACTGGTAATTTTTGTTGCATCCCTTAGAAAGACAAATATGATGCGGCCGTGGGAGATATTACAATCACTTCTGATAGATCGACGTATGCCGATTTTACGTTGCCATTCACCGAAATGGGTCTTGGAATTGTAGCAGCAAAGGAGAGAAGTATGTGGGTGTTCTTCCAACCTCTAACACCAAATCTTTGGATAACAAGTGCAGCATTCTTTGTCTTGACGGGTATTATAGTTTGGTTGATAGAAAGAGCTGAAAACAAAGAGTTCCAAGGATCTTGGCCACAACAGATTGGAGTTGTGCTTTGGTTTGGCTTCTCTACCCTTGTTTATGCTCACAGTAAGTACTTTTTCATATTCTTATATACCAATCTTGGCCAGAAGAGAATAGATTGGAGTGATGCTTACCTTTTGCTGCTTACTATGTGTGACAGGGGAGAAGCTAAAACACAACTTATCAAGATTTGTAGTTACAGTTTGGGTATTTGCGGTGCTCATATTGGTTACAAGTTACACTGCAACATTGACATCAATGATGACGGTGCAACAAATACGATTTAACGCCAATGAAGACTATGTCGGTCACCTCTCGGGATCCCTCATCGCAAATGCGGCCCTCACCAATTCCAGCCTCCGAACAATGAGATTATTGGGTCTCAATACTTCAGAAGATTATGCTCAAGCCTTGTTGAATAAAAATGTCTCATATATTGTCAGTGAGTTGCCATACCTCAAAGTCCTCCTTGGCGAGTATCCTGGACATTTTCTCATGGTCAAGACACAATCTACCACCAATGGCTTTGGCTTTGTATGTATCCTTCTTCGACATCATCTGTCTCTTTACTTTTCATCTTCTTGTCACTTGCTGACCATAAATGTTTGTTTAATTTGTTAAACCACATTTTAGATGTTTCAAAAGGGCTCGGAGTTGGTGCATAATGTTTCTCGTGAGATCGCGAAGCTAAGGACGAGCGAGAGACTAAACGAGATGGAGAGAAGATGGTTTGATAAACAACTCCCATACACAACCGATGATACATCAAATCCTATAACCCTATATAGATTCCGCGGTTTGTTTATGATCACCGGAGTTTCATTCGCTTTCGCTCTTGCAGTACTTCTCATTCTCTGGCTCCGAGAAAAATCGGAAATTGTTGTAAAGTCAGTCAATCTATACCTCTCACAACAACTTAGGCATTTCAGGTTCCTTTTCACAAGAACTATCCATCCTAGTCCCCTCGATAACCCAATTGGCGAGAATGCGGTTCAAATGGCTCAACGTAACAGACGATAGGATCAAATGATAAACATAGAGCAAACAATTGTTGTGATGTTGAACGTCTCTGACTCTGACTCTGAACTTGAAGCCTCACAGAAGAACCTTGTCGTTCTTCAATGATCCAGTAGTTCTTGATCCAAGTAAAAATGATTGTTATACCAATTTTGTAAATTATAGAATGATCATCAGATTCACAACTACTTCATGAATTTGATGTTGCTGTATATATTGAATTTAGCAAAAAGATATCGGTAATATATTGAGTTAAAACTTAACACATTCTAATTTTTTTATAAATATATTTTATGATTTGTTAATCTTATAACCATACGTTATTTATAAGGTTTTGATTTAGGGTTTCTATTCGATTTTACCAAATAAATAACATGGTTGTTTAATTTTTTATTCATGTTTATATTTGCAATAGTATATTTTCAGTATAATTTTTACTTTTACTCTATGGTTAGTTTATATATTTTTTTGGAGAATATGATACTTTTGTAACACTATAAACCTTTGTTTTATAAAGTAACTTTATAAACCTTGTAAAATGTAAGAAACTCTAATCAGTAGGTAAGAGACTCCTACATTTCGTTTGTTTGGTTTTGTGTTCTACATATGATATGAGATCGTTTACTTTTGAGATGACACGACTTTCACCATTTTCCTCTACTTCTAGATTTATATCTTTGACTGTCTAAATTGTCAAGTCTCTTACACTTAAGTAATTGAAGAATTGTTCTTGTCAACACAAGTTAATTGTTAATATATACTATCCCAACAAATATGGAGTTACGTAAAAAAATGTCAGTTTAACACATTTGTTCGTACGACCGCTGACAAATGTTTTTTTTTTTTTGTCTTTTGCTAAAATTAGTCCGTTGACAAATTTAATCCTATAGAATACTTTCTAATTTCTTCCATATATTTTCGTTTTTACTTTCTTCACCAAACATTATACATTTTAGTCAGATTCTATAAAGTAATGAATGACTTGAGAGACAAAAGAGTAGCCAAACTCGGTAGCCCACACCGAATTTTTACTTTGACTAATGTCATTTTTCTTCTAACATATTTATCAAAGTTTTTAAAAAGTAAAATAATTAGACAGAGGAAAAACAAAACACGGCAAGTGTTTATATAACAACAAAATAAAATAATGACTAAAAGCAGCAAACGTGGGGTTTCTCCTTTCTCTGTAGTTGAAAAGTTTTTTTAATGGAGAGATTTTGTTTCAAAAATCCAATTTTGCTATCGTTTCTTCTTGTTTTGCTTCTCTTCATCTCCATTGCTTCTACTCAAAACGACGACGTTGATCATGGACGTAAACGGGTTCAGATCCGGGTCGGGTTGGTATTGGATTTGGGTTCCGTGGAAGGGAAGATAGTGAAAAGCTCTGTTTCAATGGCTCTTTCAGATTTCTACGCTATTAACAATGATTACAAAACTAGAGTCTCTTTTTCAGTCAGAAACTCTCATGGAGAGCCTCTTCTTGCTCTTGCTTCTGGTAACACACTTCTTCTCTACATAAACTTTGTCTTCTTCTCTGTCTCCATTCACGCTTACAGTCTTTGTTTTCTATCTTTTGTGAATGAAACAGCTGTAGATCTGTTGCAAACTGAAGGAGTGGAAGCGATAATTGGCGGGAATTCGTTGTTGGAAGCGAAGCTTTTAGGGGAACTTGGAGAGCAAGCTAGGGTTCCTGTGATTACGCTTAACTCTCCCATGTCATTGTCATTGAGTAAATACAGTTACTTGATCCAAGCCACACATGATTCTGTCTCTGAGGCTAAGGGAATTATAGCTTTCATCAATGGGTTTGATTGGAACAGTGTTGCTCTTCTTTATGAAGATCATGATGACTGGAGAGAGAGTATGCATTTTATGGTAGACCATTTCCATGAGAACAACGTTCGTGTACAGTCCAAGGTTGGTTTTACTGTCTCTTCAAGTGAGGATTTTGTGATGGATCGTTTACAGAAACTGAAGGACTTAGGAACAACAGTCTTTGTTGTTCACTTGTCTAGAGTTATTGCAACTCATCTCTTCCCATGTGCTGGGAGATTAGGGTTGATGGGTGATGGGTTTGTTTGGATCCTCACTGCTAAAACAATGAACAGCTTCAATGAAAACATTGACGATTTCTCAAAAGAGGCAATGGAAGGTGTGGTTGGTTTCAAGTCCTACATTCCAATGTCTAAAGAGCTTCGAAATTTCACTTTAAGATGGAGAAAATCATTGCTGGTTGAAGAAGCGGAGATAACTCAGTTGAGTATCTCTGGCGTATGGGCTCACGATATCGCTTGGGCTCTAGCGAGTGCAGCGGAAGTTACAAGGATGCCAAATGTATCATCAACTCTCCTTGAGGCAATCTCAGAGAGTAGATTTAAGGGTTTGAGTGGTGATTTCCAGTTGCATGATAAGAAGTTGTTATCAAAAAAGTTTGAGATTGTGAATATGATAGGATCAGGTGAGAGAAGGGTAGGATACTGGAATTCTAATGGTAGTTTCAGCAGTAGAAGACATTTATCTTCTACTCATGACAAGCTGGAGACCATCATTTGGCCCGGTGGGTCTGCTCAAAGTCCGAAAGGGAGTAGTCTAAGAGAGAGCGGTAGAAAAAAGCTGAGGGTTTTGGTTACATCTAGCAATAGATTTCCAAGACTGATGAAAGTTGAGACTGATCCGGTAACAAATGAAGTAATTGTCGAAGGGTTCTGTATAGAAGCTTTTCGGGCTTCGATTAGTCCTTTCAACTATGAAGTTGAGTACATACCTTGGCTTAATGGAAGTAACTACGACAATCTTGCATATGCACTTAGTAGCCAGGTACTAACCATGTTTTAGTTTACTATTTATTACAAAGTATTTTATTTCATCAATTTAGAGTGTGTGGAAACTAAATCAACTCCATTGAAATATTTGTGTTGCATCCCACAGAAAGACAAATACGATGCAGCTGTGGGAGATATTACAATCACTTCCAATAGATCGATGTATGCTGATTTTACGTTGCCATTCACTGAAATGGGTCTTGGAATTGTAGCACTAAAGGAGAGAAGTATGTGGGTGTTCTTCCAACCTTTAACACCAGACCTTTGGATAACAAGTGCAGCTTTCTTCGTCTTGACCGGCATTATAGTTTGGTTGATAGAAAGATCTGAGAACAAAGAGTTCCAAGGATCTTGGCCACAACAGATTGGAGTTGTGCTTTGGTTTGGCTTCTCTACCCTTGTTTATGCTCACAGTAAGTAATCGCCTTTTCACATTCTTTGTTCAGAAAAAGATTGTAGTGATGCTTACCTTTTGCTGATGTGTGACAGGGGAGAGGCTAAAACACAACTTATCAAGATTTGTAGTTACAGTTTGGGTATTTGCGGTGCTCATATTGACCGCTAGTTACACTGCAACATTGACATCAATGATGACGGTACAACAGATACGATTCAACTCAAATGAAGACTACGTGGGTCACCTTTCGGGCTCCCTTATCGCAAATGTGGCCCTCACTAGTTCCAGCCTCCGAGCAATGAGATCATTAGGTCTCAATAGTTCTGCAGATTATGCTCACGCCTTGCTGAACAAGACTGTCTCTTTTGTTGTTGATGAGTTACCATACCTCAAAGTTCTCCTTGGCGAGAATCCGACACATTTTCTCATGGTCAAGACACAATCTACCACCAACGGTTTCGGCTTTGTATGTATCCTTCTTCTTCATCAGCATAATTAAGCTTCCTTACTCTTTATTTACTTTTGACTAGCTGACAAAAAATAATGTTTGGTTTGTTTTTTACTATGTTTCAGATGTTTCAAAAGGGCTTTGAGTTGGTGCCTAATGTGTCCCGGGAGATTGCGAAGCTTAGGACGAGCGAGAAGCTAAACGAGATGGAGAAAAGATGGCTTGATAAACAACTTCCATACACAACCGATGATACATCAAATCCTATAACCCTTTACCGATTCCGCGGTTTGTTTATGATAACCGGAGTTTCATTCGCTTTCGCTCTTGCAGTACTTCTTATTCTCTGGCTCCGCGACGAATGGACAGTTCTTGTGGATTCGGTTAAACTATTCATCTCGCGACAAATTATACATTTCAGGATCCACTTTGCTAGAAATATCCATCCTAGTCCTCTCGATGACCCCATTGGCGGAAATGCAGTTCAAATGGCTCAACGTAACAGACAATAGGAACAGATTACGATAGATAAAAAAGGTCCATAACTAATCTTTACTTGTAAATGGCTTACATATAAAAGTAGAAATGATGTTTAAAGACCAATCCTTGTAAATTGTAGATGAGATCAAATCAAACCCACCTTTATAATGTTGGTTAATACTATATGATTAGTGTCTTCCAAATTGTTTGGTTGTCAAAAAATTATCATAAGTCTGAATGTCTGATTATAATCAGAAAAATTAAGTGGAGCAAACCGAATCAAATAAAGATCCGGTTTAATATACAAGCAAAAAAAATCTGGAAACCCAAAAATCAAAATCAAACCGAGTCAGAAATCCGAAATGGCGGTCCGGTATGGGCTTATTTTGGGGTGGGCTACCAAAAATCAATGAGCCCATAATCATTTTCTCAAAGAGAAGAGAGAAACCCTAATCTCTCAACTCTCTCCCAATCTCATATATAAATAATCTCTCTTCTTTCTCTTCTTTAACAACGCCTCTCGCATCTCTCTGATTTTTTAGCTCCTCTTTCAAATTTTTGCAGCTACTAATCGTAAATTACTCCTCTGTTTTTATTTTTTGGTCTAGAGTTTTTTTTTTTTATTTAAAGCAAGTCTCAGCTTCTTTGATTGGGTTTAGATAATCACGATCCAATCAATTTAATAAAATATAAACTTGCGAAATAGAAATTAGTCAGTATCACTCGCCTGGATTTGATAGTAATCATGATTATCCAGGCCCTAAATCTACTGGCACAATCTTTTGTTTTTGTTATTTGTTGTTTGTTTGGCAAACGCACTCTGTCCCAAGACCATTAATTCCATGTTTTGGTGCAATTTCTTCGTTTGCTAAATTGATCTGTACTCCAATTTTACTAAGTCCTCGGGATTTTTTCTAAGTGATCCCTACATGGGCACATGATTGGTTTACAATACTTTGATTATTTTGGATACTAATTCCTATATTGATATGTCAAGATCATAAATTGTGTACGATTTATGTGATATGGTCACCAAAGGACGATAATTGATTCAAGATTTAGGTTTAGCGAACTAGAGGCTTTATTATTTAACTTAACATATCTAATGAATCTTAGTTTTGTCTCTTCTGGGATCAGTAGTCTTATATACAGACTACAACACAACTGGGAAAGATATGTTTTGGGACATAAGCCTTGGAAGAACAATTTTGTTAATTCCTTGAAAATTCAAGGATCCAACTCAAATTGAGAGTGTCTTACTCATATTGGAGATGGAAAATTAATTAAGTTTTGCATAAGATGTTGCGTTTTAAGAGGAACCTAGCCCTGAAATGGCTCAGAACAGACAAGACGATGAAAGAGTTTGTTCAAACTTCAAAGCAAATGAACATGATGATATTGATGATCAAGGGTCTATCAATCTATTTCTATTGCTAATTAACCAGTGTTTAAATCCAAAAGTCAATTTGAAACTTCATGCTCTTCAGATATTTATAATTAGAATTGGGCTTTCCATCATTTAGGCCCATATACTACTTGTACAAGGTCGGATTCAATAAACCGTGGGTATTTGAACAGGTCGGATTCAATAAACCATGGTTTCGGCGCTTTTTAGATAGAAGATTAGGCTGTGACTTCACTTGATTTTGGCGCTGTTATTTAATTGGGCTTTTAATGGGCTGAATATATTTGGAAGGCAGAAAATTATTTTCTGAAAATATGCATGCAGTAAATTACTAATCTTTCTATTCTTGTTTTTTTTTTTTTTCTATTTAGACTTCTCAGTTGCTAATATTTTTTTTTTTACTTTCAAGGGTTTATATTATGAACTACAATGAGAATTTAGAAGAAAGATTGATTCATTTATTTAAAACCAGTTGATATATATCCAGGAGAAAATAAAACTTCACTAAACAAACAGTACTTTATTGAACTAAAAACATTCCTCAATCTTTTCCGTTTTGGTATATTGGAAAAAAATAACGGATTAAAATCCTCAAGACTCTTCATCTTAGTTGATTCTTCTGCAAAGATGTCACAAATTCGTTACATGGAAAGATTATCGTTCATGTAAAGATTGCAGAAACTAAAAAACCATCCAAGAAGAGCTAAAACATGTACAATCTTCAAGATTGTTCATGGTAATAACTACTCTATCAAAAGCTAACCAACTCTTCTTCATTGATTCATCTCTAAAGATTTCCCCAATATCATAACACCTAAAGATCGATTTACAAAAGATTCCAGAAACTAAACAATCCAAGAACAACTAAAATCATGTACAATCAAATCCTCAAAAGAAATCCAAATTTCAACACAGAAACTATCCAAAGTAACGCAAATCTGAAATGAGCCAAGAACAAGTTTTTTTTTTCTTTGAACGATCTTTGAGTCAAATCAGCACCTGAAACTGATACCGAGTCCATGTTTGCCATGAACACACCCAGATTTCAACTGTGAATACGAAGACTTCTCCTTCGACTTCGCGAATGTTCTCTTCCCCGATTTCCTAATTCTCTGAACCTTAACCAGCTCATAATCATCATCGAGATCATCATAGTAGTCAAAGTCATCTTCATCAGTATCATAACCATCGCGATTGACACCGTCTTTAACAGAATAACGTGAACCTTCACGATGAGACACCATCCTCCAGCGAAAACAACCTCCGTCGATGAGATCAAGATCCGCCGCGACGCGAACACCAGAAGCAACCGGAGATGAGACAGAGTACGACGAGGAAGTGATGGTATCGGAGAGAGTCTTGAAGTTGAAGGTGAGGGAAGTGAGGAACTCCAAAGTCTTGAAGTCGAGATTCGCCATTTTTTTGTTTTCTTGCTTCTTTTGCGATTTTGGTTTTTCACTTAAGAGGGAAGAAGAAGAAGAAGTTCGTTACAATTTATAGTTTTCGCTAACAAGGAAGAGATTATTGGTCGTTTTGTATCTTCTTATTAGACATGCGTGCTGTTTATATATGATACAAACGTCATGTAGTTTGTTTTTAGAATCGCATAACGGAATGTAGTTTAAAGAAAGCAAAACGTCTCATATTCTTTGGAGAATCGGATTTATGAGTTTAAGTTAACACAAGGAAAACAAATTATTCCGACTTTGCTTTATAACATTTTTGTATAATTACACTGACATTGACATATATCGTTGTAATTAGTTAGAAAATTATTTATGCAAAAATGAAATAAACCAAATGATCCTTGGATTGACCATAATTAGGACTTTTCACCGATGAAAAATCCATCTATTAAAGCCTTTTAATTAGACTGTATAAGTGGCACTTTGCATGACCGTCTTATATATCAAGATGCTTGATTTTTAAATAGGTACTTTTATCTGGTGATTCAAAATTCTTTATTGTGTGTGGTTTTTTGAAAACATCTTAATTTCCATATCAACATACTGTAATTAGAGATGTACTGAAGTTAGCTAATCTCACTTCTTGTGCTTTGTGAAAAGAGGAGCTAGCCAAGTAGTTGAAGTTGAATTATTAGCTACATCTGCAAGAACTCATGCACATATAGTTTATTAGTCCTGGTCGTTTAAAGTTATGTAACTCCTTTAATTTAATGAAATAGTTTTGACGAATAAATAACCAAGTTAATCACTAAAAGTAACTAAGGATGTAAAATGAAAATTCACCGGTAATCAAACTTACGTAACATCTTTAATATTATAATGAAATGACTTGTCGACGCAAATTATTCAGGTTCGTTATAGTATAAGATTAAAAAAAAAAAAACTTTAATGTTTTATTACATTCTTTGACATTCGTTATTGACTAAAAATTATAAAACCACACTCGACATTATATATATAACAAATGAAGCCAGATTACTAACTACTAACTAACAAATAAATATTCAATCACAAGAGAATGTCAACTATCAAGTTCTTTAATTTGACATTCTCATGGCCGTGTTTGAAAGTCACCGCATGAAGCGTTGACCAAACCCAAAGAACAACTAAATCCAAAAGCAGATCTTCCAACGTCAAACTCCACCAAAGTGTTTTCCATCTGATGTAATCCGATCACCACCGCCTGCGCCGCCGCATCTCCTCCGTTGACGAAAGCCAAGCAAGCCACGTCATCACTGACCTTCTTCATCGCGTTTGCGGGAGACACTTTCCAAATCACCCCAGCAGCTAGCTCTAGATCGATCCGAGGCACTTGGAAATTTGTCGTTGACTTAAGACAAAACTCCAAGGGTGTCGTGCTAATGACACGTGGAATATCCGACGTGGCTTTTGCGAATGCTTCAATAAAGACTTTGTATATGTCGCTTCTTAACGTAGTGAAAGGGAAAACGGTGCTTAGAGTCACGCCTCCGTCACCGTTGCGGTCGAAATCAAAAGCGTTTGGTGCAAGCAAGATCCTTTTCCCGTTAACGGAAATACCCTTGAGTCCCAAGAAATAGTTGTTGAGTTTTCTAGGGTTTCTAATCAATCGAGTGTAAGAGAGCATGGATCTTGCATCAATGTTTCTGAGCTTGTACGGACCTCCACCAAAGTAAATAGCACCTTTGTTCAAAGGACTTTCATCAGAAGGAAGACACAACGCAAACTTCTTCTCGAGTCCGAGTCTAGGTCGAGTAAGCTGGTTCCATGTGGCGAGAGCGGTGGGTGCAAGCCCCGCAAGGCCGAAAACACCGGGAGGGAAGTCCACGAGGAACGGCTTGGGGATGCATAGGTAATAGACGTTGTTGACCGTGACCGAGGGAGATATAGGGTTTAGAGAAGAGATGGATAAATCTCCATAAGTGAATTGGTCAGAGTTACATAGACGTTGGAATGGCTCAAAGGCGGTTGCTTGGCAAGCACACACTCCGTTGATGACTGTGTTGGTGGGAAGAGGGCATTGGTGAGGGCTAACTCCACGAGTGAGAGCACACACTGGGGAGTCGCAAGGGACGATGGGACGAGGGAGACCATCGTTGCATTTGCGGACAAGATAGGGCCCGCCGATGTGAATGAAAAATTCTTGGTTTTTGTTGAGTGTGAAGGTGAAGATGGGCAAGATTGTGTTCTTAGAGACGGTTGATACTAATGTTTTCGGTGAATAATTATGAGCAGAGACGTAACTATAAGCTGAAAACAAAAGGAGGCAGAGGACAACAAGACTCTTTTCCATCTTTTAAGTCTTTATGTCTAAAATTGTTGGAAAAAGTTTATGGATATGGATATGATTAGAAGGAGAAATAACAACCGATATATAGTAATTAGAGTTGACATTTCGACATATAGACGTCACACACGTTAATATTGTACGAACATGTACACACAACAATACGGTCGGACCACAACAACTTGATATATAAAAAGATTACTAGCTTTATGTCAAGTTGCTATAGAGGGCCAAACGTTTAGGCAGAGCCAGGCCATGACAATCCTATATTTATGTCAAGTTGATAGATAGATTTTAAAAAACTACCGATGGATATAGATAGTCATAGACTCCAAGACTTACACGTTAATAAGAAAAAAAAAAAAAAAACTTCAACTATCATCACTAGTTGTGGTTTTATATTTTTGTTGAAAATTCATATTAGATATATATTATAAAAAAATAGCAGTAGTTTGAATCTGGAATGTGATAATCAATAGTCAAAACTGCTTTCAAAGTTTTCTAGGATCGATATGATAAGCATGTGCGCCTTTTTGGTCACATTCGAATGACATATATTTGCTAATGATGCATGTAAATGGTTAACTTATTGTTGAGTATATTTTGAATGGAACCATATTTGTAATCAACCGTATATAAAAAACAGATAATGTATGTAGAAAGCTAGAGAAAAAGTCTGGTTTAAAGACGTAGAATTAGAATTGGTCTTAGTACATATTACTAAAACCGGGACTAAACCAACACCGGATTTGTGTAGCTCATAGAAATTTCCTTTGGGACACCATTTAGCAACCACAATGCTTAAGAAGATTCAGTCTCTTAACTAAACCGAACTGCTACTATTTCATCAGCAACAACGTCCTTTAACCCCAAACGCTGAACTATCTACCTGTTCAGGTTTCCCAAGTACCATGTCTGTTACCATTTCCGCTGTTGCTAGAGCCTAAACGATTTCAAGAAACCGTGAGTCATGATTGGGTTCTTGAGAAAGGTTTTAGAACATTAGGATGAATCTTGCTTACCATAGAAAGTCCACCTCCTTCATGCCCAGCTGCTAAGTATAGGTTTTGTAGTCCGGGCACGGATCCTATCACTGGCTTTCCATCAGGCACTATCATCAGTTAAAAGAGAAGTTCAGGTTTTGTGAACATTCCAAAGGAAGTATTTTTTGGTTTGGGACATTAGAGGCTAGAAGCTTACTGTAAGGACGCAACCCGACTCTCACTTTCCTGTTCCGGATGAAATCTTCGAGGGAAATATCACGTAACTTGGGGAAGAATTCTGCTGCACGCTCCCATATGCAACGGATGATAAACTCATCAGCTTCAGTGTCGAAACCGACAAACTCACGGCTGCTCCCTGAAATTAGAGATGGCTAAATGAAAATGAGAGATATATCGTGCGTGACTAGTAAACATTTTTTTACCACACATAATAAGAAGAACATGGATTTTACTAGTTCAGGAGTTCAAGAGGTGGACTTAGATTGATGAAATTACCGAGGATAAGGTTTCCTGATGTGTCCATTGTGGCTGTCATGGAAATAGATAGCATCCGTTCCTCAACATCCAATCCTGGAGCTGAAGCACTTTGATGATTTGTGTAACCAGCCTCCATTAATCCATGATTTAAGTGGAACGAATCAAAATTCTCTACCACAAGTAGATGCCCCTGCAAAGAAATAAGTTGGATACTGCGTTTAAAAATACGAAAGCAATCTATTTCCAGCGTTTGCATATTCGTGAAGCTTGCAGCGGATCAACTCGATAAATAAAGACATACTTGTTTTTCGTAAACAAATAATATTCTCAAGAACTCAGCTTTCCACAATTTCTAGACCTCTTGATGTCGATGATACACTTCCATATAGAGATTCAAAATGCCAAATTTTTGTGCTGGCAGAGATTGATTACGGGGGTAAATGAAATGGAAGAATGAGCAATCAGACGAGAGTTCAAACCTTTCTTGGCTTCACAGGAACGTCCAGCGAAATGTTGCAGTCCTTAAGCAATTCATGCATCAGAGATCCACTCCAGCAACCAGCAGCTACTATAGTAGCCTTCTTACCATACAAGTTACGTTTAGAAGTCTGAACACCTGCAACCTCCGTGCTACGCCCATTAGACCTGAATCGAATATACTATTAACATATTAAAGTCTAGCAGAAGATCAATGAGTAGTGTGCATGAAGATTTCCAAAGACTTGGGTTAACTTGTTTTTGAGTTTCAGCCTCTTAAGGTACCAAAATTAGGAGATTGTGACGGCAAACTAGACACAAATATCGTATACAGTTATGAATATTTTGTGTCACATTGATTTTGATTAGAAAAAGCATTTTTATTCTCTATTTCAGAAGAGTTCCAGCTAAACAAAGATTAGCAACCTTATTAAACCTATAACTGGTTCATGATAGAACTCGGCATATCTTCCTTCAGGTGCAAACTCTCTGTTACCCTGAATATCTCAAAGAAAACTAAGTAAACCACAAATAAAACAGTCAGATGAGACATTCAACTATCTTTGAAAATCTAGCAACCTTCTCGATATAAGCAACTGCGCGATGAGCATCCAGTTGTGAATCATCGGGAAGAAATGCAGCCCCGGAATCATCATCCACAAGAACCGCAGGCTCCTTTAACAACAACTCATCACTAGACAAATATTCAGTTCTTAACCCAGCTTCAGAAAGCTCATGAACCTTTTGCTTCAGAGCAACACATTCCTCAGAGGTCCTTCCAATGAGTAAGCTTCCTGCATATAACTATTCTACATCATCTACAAGAAAATCGCCATTTCATGGAACAAGATGAAAATAACATTGCCTAAAAGAACCTAACATTGGTGTATAGAATAGAACCCAATCAGATAAAGTGAGGAACTTTATAAGAATCAACACAAGATCATCAGATAAACAAAGTCGCTCAAAGAGCTCCAAATTCCAAACAAACTTAAAGTGGGTTGTCAGAAAAAAAAACCTGTCTTTTTCCAGCCAAGCAACTCTTCAGGATCAAGACCATCAACGTTCAAGCTCTCTGCAAGCTTGTGCCAGAGTTCATGGCTCCTCAAAGTCAAGTCCCACACATCAGTGCCTGGTTTCTTGTGAGTCATCCATATATATCCCTGCCCTGAAACCCCAAAACCACAAATGTCAAGTTAAGTCCACTCTATTCACTTCAAGTTTTCAACTTTATTCACAAAATCCAATTTGTAAGAGAAGGGAATAAAGATTACCGGCACCGGTGGCACCGGAGCAAGGGACGGCTTTATCGACAACAGCAACGGATAGATCCGACCCGGTTAGGAATTGGCGGGCTATGGTCAATCCGATGATCCCACCACCAACAACGACTACATCGTAAGAGCTGCGAGAAGCTGTGACACGAAGTGATGGAGAAGCTCCACGTCGGGTTCTCCGGGTGGAGCTCCGAGATGAAAATGGGTAGCTCTGGGATGTTAAACTTGTTGGTGATTGAAGGAAAATGGAAACCATTGGTGAAGGTTTTTGGTATCGTAAAGGTTTGAACTTTCAAAAGTCAACATAAGAATTATAACCATAGTCAGACTTAAAATTAGCAAAGTAGACACTTTTAGTTTGATTTCGTGCCAATTACTATCTCAGTGCTTATTCACATTTTCACTTACGAATCAATCTTCTTGTTATAGGAGTTAACTCATTCAAATGAGTTTATGTTCCAAGTTGGAACATGGATCCAAGTTCCTTATGTTGGGAATGTCCTGAAATCGTTTGTACTTTACTCTAATTGAAGTTGAAATGTCGAGGTCTGACATTCGTATAATATTAGGTGGTTATAATGTTTTGCTAGAGACCGCTTATAATCTATGAGTTTAAGACTCATTGCTAATATTATACGAACCTACAGGGTCACACACCTAAGCAGACTGGATCAATGTTGGGTTATAATTATAATATAATATATATGTTATATGAGATATACATATATATTTATATTTGTGTATTTATAATAAAGTGTTTATTATATAATATATATGTGATATATGATATACATATATTTGTACACGTAAGTTGCAAAAAGGAAGAAAAGAATAATTGGGCTTTGGCCCATTAATAAATCTAAGTTTAGGTTTAACGTTTGACTATATATATTGATATATTGTCAACGTTTGTGATAAGGTTTTTGAGCAACCGAACCCTAAAGATACAAGGGACAAAGAGTTTGTCTACGTTTTGAGATTAGATCTCAACAGTACTAGCATACTACGTGAGATCCAGTTTGTGTGCGTGTGGATACCAGTAGAGGCACAACACTTGGGGTGCTAAAATAACCTCGAATTAATATGGTTCATATTTCCGCTGCAGAATATCCAGGTATATTCAAACCCTATAGTCTAGATTTAATTCTTTATTTGCACGGTTCCTGGCAATTGAATTCATTATTAGTATTTATAAATCGTTATAAACCGGTACGAATTCCTACAGTGGTATCAGAGCCTACGTGTTTAATACTGAATTTGAATCTAGTTTAATCTATATTTTGATATAGATGAATAATTGTAATTTGTTTTAGCTTATTTAAATTTATGAAATTTAATTGGTAAAGCATGAAATAAATAAAATTATATGATCGCCTGAACATGTTCGTTTATCATAATTTGATTATGATGTTGAATGAATTTCGTAAATAACTAGAACATGTTTACGTATATTGGTTATACGTTTGTGATGAATATTAAATTAATATTAGCATGTAGAAACATGATTTTGTCATCGTGGAGTGTAATCATAAATTTTGGAAATTTATTCTGTCACGTTCGTTGATAAGTTTGATATGTTGAGAATATCTCTGTTCGTCTTTATTAATGGTTAATCTAGTGCAAATACGATTAAATAATTGATCTGTTGGAACTTGAATGAATTGTTGATTTTCGTTTTGTTTTAACACATTCACGTGAACATTGAAGTTATAGATATTTAATGAATTAAATATAACTTGGTGTTGAAGAATATGTATATATAGATATCCATATATTCGTTTAGTAATTCTAGTTAAAGTAATTAGAATAATATATTAATATTTAATATATATGTAGAAAGTTACGGGTAATGATTAGATTTTTTATTAGATTTGGAATTGTTCCTTATTTAAAAGATCTGTTACCATAACCGTACATATAATAATTGTATAGATTCTGATTTGATCATAATCATACTTGTAATATTTCGATAGATCCTAATTAGATTAGGATAAGTTCGATTATATTACGTTTTAATCTGATTAGAGTTATAGAAATTTAATTAAGATCAGTTTTCTAAATATTTAATAATTTTAATTTGATTAATATTAATTAAATTGTTTATAATTCGATTAATTACATATTAGATGTGTATTAGTTATATTTTATTTATATTAGATATAAATTTTAAATATAAAATTGAGTTATAAAATTAATTCCTCAATTAATATCAAGTATTGATGTCTCCCCAATTTTATCAACTGTTAAAACTTAAATTGTTGTATGGCGGGTCTGCCAAAGCAGCGGTATGCAATTGTTTAAGAGTGAGACAGATGGTAACGGTTACCATATGAAATAAAATTGGTTTACTTGACTAGGCTATCAAAACGGTTTTGGGCTTAGAGACATAGGGTTAGATAAGACATAAGATGTCATCCACAACCAAGAATTATATTGGATATAATTAGCAAAGTGTTGCTTACCTAAATAACTAGATATTCAGGGGTGGAGCCAAAGCTCACTTGAATTCTAGTGAAATATGGATCTTGGATCATTGTACTCATTAGAGGAAATTTTGTTTTTGAGTATAGTGTTAGTCTTCTTAATTGTTGAGAATTCTAAAATTCATGAACATCATATTAATTTCTGCTTTTCTTTTTCAACAGTTATGTCAAACCCTCAAAGTTCCTATTCATTTCGAGATGTTCTTGAGAAGGACAAATTGAATGGATCAAACCCTCTTGAAAATTCGGAAGATCTGGAGAAGAAGAAAATATTCAATATTTCTTCTTCGGGTATCTATGTTATAGAAGTAAATGTTACTACTTCTGGTTCTACTCCTTGGGTATTGGATACCGGTTGTGGTGCTCACATTTGTGTATATGTGCATGGCCTAACCAACAGTAGAACTTTGGAGGAAGGACAAGTGGACCTACGTGTGGCTAATGGAGCAAAAGTTTCTGCATTAGCCGTGGGAACATATTCGTTGTCTTTACCTTCAGGCATGGTTTTGGAGCTTAAGAACTGCTACTATGTTCCTGCTATAAACAAGAATATCATCTCCATTTCATGTTTGGACATGGAAGGTTTTCACTTTTCGATCAAGAACAAATGTTGTTCATTTGATCGAGATGATATGTTTTATGGTAGCGCTCCATTAAAGAATGGGCTTTATGTTCTAAACCAAAGCATGCCAGTCTATAACATTCGTACCAAGAGATTTAAGTCTAATGACTTGAATCCAACTTTTCTCTGGCATTGTCGTTTGGGCCATATAAATGAGAAACGCATTCAAAAGCTTCATAGTGATGGACTTTTGAACTCATTTGATTATGAATCTTATGAGACTTGTGAATCTTGTTTGTTGGGAAAAATGACTAAGGCCCCATTTACTGGGCACAGTGAGAGGGCTAGTGATTTATTGGGCCTTATACATACAGATGTATGTGGGCCAATGAATACAAGCGCCAGAGGAAACTATCAGTACTTCATTACATTTACTGATGACTTCAGTAGATATGGTTATGTTTATCTAATGAAACATAAGTCGGAATCCTTTGAAAAGTTCAAGGAGTTCCAGAATGAAGTACAAAATCAACTTGGCAAATCAATAAAAGCTCTTCGATCAGATCGTGGAGGAGAATATTTGAGCCAAGCTTTCAGTGATCATCTCAGAGAGTGTGGAATTGTTTCACAGCTCACTCCTCCAGGAACACCACAGTGGAATGGTGTGTCCGAAAGGAGAAATCGAACTTTATTGGATATGGTTCGATCGATGATGAGTCACACTGATCTTCCAATATCCTTTTGGGGATATGCTCTAGAGACGTCTGCGTTTATGCTAAACAGATGTCCATCAAAATCAGTTGAAAAGACACCATATGAGATATGGACTGGAAAAGTTCCTAATTTATCTTTTCTCAAAATTTGGGGTTGTGAAGCTTATGTCAAACGGTTGATTACTGATAAGCTTGGACCAAAATCTGATAAATGCTACTTCGTAGGTTATCCTAAAGAGACCAAAGGTTATTACTTCTACCATCCAACTGACAACAAAGTGTTTGTTGCTCGAAATGGAGCCTTTTTGGAAAGGGAGTTTCTTTCAAAAGGAACTAGTGGGAGTAAAGTGTTACTCAAAGAAGTTCGAGCCACAGGAGGATGTTCCAACTTCTCAGGAAGAACATCAGTTAGATCTACGAAGAGTCGTAGAATCTACACCTGTGGAACCTGAGGTACGTAGGTCCGAAAGGAACCGTCACGAACCCGATAGATTTGGAGATTAGGTGATGGATGATCATAATCTATTGATTATAGAGAGTGATGAACCTACGTCATACGAAGAAGCAATGATGGGCCCCGATTCCGATAAGTGGTTAGAGGCCGCGAAATCCGAGATGGAATCCATGTCACAAAACAAAGTATGGACTTTGGTTGATTTACCTGATGGTGTAAAAGCTATTGAGTGTAAATGGATTTTCAAGAAGAAAATTGACATGGATGGTAATATACAGATATACAAAGCTAGACTGGTGGCGAAAGGTTACAAGCAAATTCATGGTATTGACTATGATGAAACCTATTCACCAGTTGCGATGCTTAAGTCCATTCGGATTCTCCTAGCAACTGCTGCTCATTATGATTATGAGATTTGGCAAATGGATGTGAAAACAGCTTTCCTTTATGGAAATCTTGAAGAAGATGTGTACATGACACAGCCTGAAGGTTTCACTGTTCCTGAAGCTGCTAGGAAGGTATGCAAGCTTCATCGTTCCATTTATGGATTGAAGCAAGCATCTCAGAGTTGGAATCTTCGTTTTAATGAGGCAATCAAAGAGTTTGATTTCATTAGAAACGAAGAAGAACCTTGTGTTTACAAGAAGACTAGTGGGAGCGCAGTCGCATTTCTGGTATTGTATGTAGATGACATACTGCTTCTTGGAAATGACATTCCCTTGCTCCAGTCTGTTAAGACTTGGCTTGGAAGTTGTTTCTCGATGAAAGACTTGGGAGAAGCTGCCTATATTCTTGGAATAAGGATCTATAGAGATAGATTGAACAAAATAATTGGACTAAGTCAAGATACTTATATAGATAAGGTCTTGCATAGGTTTAATATGCATGATTCTAAGAAAGGCTTTATACCAATGTCTCATGGCATAACTCTTAGCAAGACTCAGTGTCCTTCGACACAAGATGAGCGAGAGCGGATGAGTAAGATTCCATATGCTTCTGCTATAGGATCTATCATGTATGCTATGCTCTGCACTCGCCCAGGTGTTGCTTGTGCTTTGAGCATGACGAGCAGATACCAGTCTGATCCAGGTGAAAGTCATTGGATAGTAGTCAAGAACATCCTTAAGTACTTGAAAAGAACTAAGGATAAGTTTTTGGTTTATGGAGGAAGTGAGGAACTTGTTGTGAGTGGTTATACCGATGCCAGCTTTCAGACAGACAAAGATGATTTTCGATCTCAATCAGGATTTGTCTTTTGTCTCAACGGAGGAGCAGTGAGCTGGAAGAGTTCCAAACAGAGCACTATGGCAGATTCTACAACTGAGGCTGAGTATATAGCTGCTTCTGAAGCGGCTAAGGAGGCTGTTTGGATTAGGAAGTTCATTACTGAACTTGGTGTGGTTCCTAGTATTTCTGGCCCCATCGATCTTTACTGTGATAACAATGGAGCCATCGCTCAAGCGAAATAACCTAGATCACACCAGAAATCCAAACACATACAAAGGCGATATCACCTCATTCGTGAGATTATTGATAGAGGTGATGTGAAGATTAGCAGAGTTCCAACGGATGCAAATGTTGCTGATCTATTTACTAAACCTCTTCCGCAGCCTAAGCATGAGAGTCATACTGCTGCGATTGGTATTAGATTTATAAAGATGTGATCTTATTTCTAGTGGGAGGTTTTTATTTATTTATTTATGATATGATGTTCATGTTAAAATACATTTGAATTTATTTTCAAATTAATGAAATTTGTTTCAGTATTATTTATTTATTGGATAATTAAATAATAGTCCTAAAATAATTTATATCATTCTTATAGGCCATCAAGTACGTGACTTGATCATGAAACCCTATAAGTGGAAAATGACATAAATTATAGAAGTCCCTAGCCAAGGTTATTAAAATGGGACAATAATAACTAAGAATGGCTAGTATGTGAGGTGACTGATGACTACGTTTCATGGAGTCATTAATATGTGGTATTAAAGTCAATCACATAGATATGTGTTAGAGAACACAGTATTGGACTGACCCGTTATGAGAACTCTACAAGATTGTTATATGAGTGTCATAAGAGTTTTTCATCACAACTATAGAGTATAGTCCTTTGACCTGAGTTCGTCATGATTCTCATTCATGGATTAGTTCGCTTTGACTCTGTCAAACGTCAGCCGTAAAAGGTGATTATAAAGACAATGATTGGGCGGGTTATGAATTGTTTAAGGAACATGGATGAAACAAGATGGGATTTGTCCCTCCCATATAACGGGAGATAAATATCTCTGGGCCTATCGAAGATTTGATACTGAGAAATGCGTGGCCGCGCTCAAACGAGGTGAATGTCAGTCGTTTGTTTTTATCAGTATAAATCGGAGTTCGATAAACATGGTCTAGCTTAATAAGGATGACAATTTCTTGCCTTATGCTGAGATCGAGATATAGAGACGAAGGGATTATGGGAATAGAAGATTCCAGTACAAGTGGGAGATTGTTGGGAATGTCCTGAAATCGTTTGTACTTTACTCTAATTGAAGTTGAAATGTCGAGGTCTGATATTCGTATAATATTAGGTGGTTATAATGTTTTGCTAGAGACCGCTTATAATCTATGAGTTTAAGACTCATTGCTAATATTATACGAACCTACAGGGTCACACACCTAAGCAGACTGGATCAATGTTGGGTTATAATTATAATATAATATATATGTTATATGAGATATACATATATATTTATATTTGTGTATTTATAATAAAGTGTTTATTATATAATATATATGTGATATATGATATATATATATATTTGTACACGTAAGTTGCAAAAAGGAAGAAAAGAATAATTGGGCTTTGGCCCATTAATAAACCTAAGTTTAGGTTTAAAGTTTGACTATATATATTGATATATTGTCAACGTTTGTGATAAGGTTTTTGAGCAACCGAACCCTAAAGAGACAAGGGACAAAGAGTTTGTCTACGTTTTGAGATTAGATCTCAACAGTACTAGCATACTACGTGAGATCCAGTTTGTGTGCGTGTGGATACCAGTAGAGGCACAACACTTGGGGTGCTAAAATAACCTCGAATTAATATGGTTCATATTTCCGCTGCAGAATATCCAGGTATATTCAAACCCTATAGTCTAGATTTAATTCTTTATTTGCACGGTTCATAGCAATTGAATTCGTTATTAGTATTTATAAATCGTTATAAACCGGTACGAATTCCTACACCTTAAACATGAATCCATAGAATTCAAACTGCAGATTCAAAGATCCTTTTTTTTTTCCGGAGATTCGATTCGTTTCTACGACAAGCTTAGCAAGTAGTGGCTTATAAACAAGACTCAGGTCTATGCATTACCATTCTCTTTTCTCTTGAGATGTCCTTATCGAAATACTTGGCAGTAGAATCAAGAATCTTCTTAGTATTACAAAGACGATTGATGTCTTCTCACCAAGTTCTCTATTACAAATGCAAGCCTTACAGCATGACACTATATTGATGGCTGAATAAACTCTACGCATAAACAACACACACATCATCTGTGATCTTCAAGCTTCTACTGTTATACCAACACCAGGAGTGGCATTGTGGTTTTGCTACAATCGGGCCCGGAAAGCTCAGAATCGTTATCTTGCTAAACTACTGACTAAGAGTGCAAAAAGAGCGAGGAGAATCCCTCTGCTTGTTACAAAGATGGATCGTGGTGACCCCGAGAAGTTTACCCTCTGTGCCTGATCCCTGCAGAAATACCAAGACATCGGTTAATGCAACAAGTTTATCTCCATTAAATATAAAAGACTCCACTTAAACTGTCTCCGGCAAGCACTAATTACATAATGAAACTGGAAAAGCAAACTAAACAACAAGAATCTGGTTATTTTACATAGAGCAGATATGTTCAACTGATGAAATAGCATGTTTCAGAAAAAGGTTACTGAGAAGGCCAACCTAAAAGCTCATTCCTGTCTATATCCCAGAAAAGTCTATATGAACCAGGTTATTTAAGTTACTTTTTAATACATATTAGGTGCTTCGAGATCCTCCAATCTCTTTCTCTTGATCAAATTTGGAATTGTTTAGGACCAGCAAAAGAAGGAAAGAGAAAAAATCGACGCTCTTTCATAGCTTATATATGGAACATTCTTTTCTAGATCTTTCTTTTTTTTGTTCCAACTTTTAGAAATAATATGAGAGCATCTGCGAATCTTACTTTTGTAATGGTGAGAGCCGACCACAATATATGGTGTTGTCAGGAACGGAATTCTCAGACGAGTCACTGTCAATCTCTGGATTAACCACACTCAAGTATAGTTCTTGGCCCAGATACCATGAGGCGAGATTGTCTATTCGAAGGTTCCACATGCCAGCATTGTCCAAAGAAACCAAGATGGCCGTCCATGCACCGGGAAACACCTGTAAACAAATTAGCTGTTTAAAACCACACAGAAACACATGTAACATTTCGGTTTCAGGTGTTAAGTCATATTTTGTTCAAAAAAAAAAAAAGGTGTTAAGTCATATAACCTGCGTAGTAGATCGAGCAACCGCATCCCCCTTGTTGTATGTGCTTCTGCTATTTTCTGTCCACAGACCAAAGTCCATCCTTCAAAACAAACATCATTCTTTAATTTTATAACCACTGTCCATTATCTTTCAACGTCTGGTCATATAATTAATGCAACCTTACCCAACAACAAAAAATGCATAACCATCCAAGTGGTAGCTCTTAACAGTGGTGTCACTATTCTGAAATATGATTTCCACGAATCCCTTGAACGTGCCGTTTATGACAGAGGTATCAACCCTGGGATGCCTATTCATCGGTCTTTTGGGGAAATCCAATTTGTATACCCCTGAGATGTTGTATTGCTGAGCAAGCTTTAGGGGTGTTGAAGGAGGTAAGTATGATATACCATTAAGAGTGGCACGTAATCGCCCTTCTATCATCTCTGGTGAACGGTTGACAATCACATAAACATCAGTTACTGTAATCTGGCCATATTTGAAAGATCCCTGAGGGTTTGGACGGGCAGCTCCAGCTGACAAATTCAACCTACCAAACAGCATTTTCCCATCAGCAACAAGTAAAGATTGCAGATTTGAAAAGAACTAGAAAAGGGGTTCCAGATTATGCTTCCTACAGAATGCCATTCTGGCCAAGATATTTCCTAATATGAAACATAACTATACATAATCGTTGACAACCTTAAGGATCGTGCTTGGTTCATTGAGAAAAATGTGTCCAACTCAATAGGAGGATCAGGGAGTGGACCTGAAGCGGGTCCTTGAGAATTAGAGTAGTGCAAGACAGCGACTCCACTAGCTTTGACGGATGTAGCAAACCTTGGGCTGGCAACAATGTAGTAGTCATTACTACCAGACTGATCCATAGTGACCAGAAATGAGAAAGATTGACCCACATGAATGTCCATATTCGTATAATTCTGCTGGACTGTGTATGACCCTTCTGTCTCAACAAGAAGCAGGTTATGATTCTGTATTCTAAAATTCAAGCTGGTTGCAATGCCACTGTTGTGAACACGAAAACGATATGTTCGTCCTAGTAAAGATGAAGATATGAATGTGGTCAGAAACGAGAGAAGACTCAAACTATAAACCAAATGAAGATTCAACAGAAAGGGATGTTATACCTGGTTCAACGTTTATTGTCCCAAAAGGAAAATTATTCGAAGCGAGCTCGCGAGTGTAAGGAAAAGGTCCAAATCCATTTATAACAATACCATCTGGAGGTCCAAGGCCTTTCTTACTCTCAACATCCTTCCTCAGCTTCTGATTCCACAGAAGTGTTTCAGATGTTAAAACAAGCATAGCAAAAGAGACAGGACAGCAAACAATAAAGAAAGATTTCCGGGTTTGTGCAAAACCTTATGGCTCTTAGTATACCAATCACTGATAAAGAGAGTAACGTCACCATCAGGAAGAGCAAAAGGAACCGGAATGATTTCTCGATTATTGATAATAATCCCTCCATACCCACCAGAAGCTCTCTGAAAATTTGTAGATGGAAAATAAAAGAAACTACCAATCTGATCTTTAACTTGAAACTCATAAGTCCAATTCCAACCAGAAGGAATTGGACAATTAGTTCCCAAAACACCATCTTGCCATGAATTTTTCCTATGTTGTATCCCATTCCTACAAATCACCACCACCAATAACATAGTTTTAGTGACCAAATTCAATCATACAGATACATTGAAGAATCGACATTATTACCATGTAAGAAGCAATGGCTCATCAAGATCATTCTTCACATTCATAACAACATTCCAATTCGTAGTTACGTTTAGAATCGGACCAGGAAATTGCCCATTTATCCCAATTACCTAGAAACCGAAATACACACAGAATCAAGAATCCAAAAACACAAAAGATCTCAAAAATCGAAACTTTCAAATTGGGAATTTGAAAAATTGAAACTTTCAATATTGAAACCTGTTGACGAGTGCCGAAAGGAGAAGCAGAGAGGTAAGAGACAGTCCAATCGAAGAAGACGTAAGGATCGGCGGCTAGGGTTCCGGTAACCGACAAGAAAAGGACAACGGAGGTGCACCAGAAGTGCGGTGGAAAGCACCGCATTGGATCTCTCACTCTCTGTGTGAGTAGAGCAGTGAGTGAAACTGGAGAAAACCATGTGCAGAGAGATTTGGGAAAGCTTTAAACCGCGTCTTCTGAATGTGAATACAGCAGAGGCGCCAAAAGAGAACATACTTGTTGGGTCCTACTTCTCCAGAAATTCCAGATAAATTATCAAAAGAACCAAAAATTTGAGAAAATAGTCAATTTAACCCCATGCCTTTAATTTGAATCTACAATCTCAATGTTTTATGACTAAAAGAGTCAACATTCTTCACCCCCTACGTTACCTTTTATGCTTTAACTTGTAGCTCAAATTTTCTGTTGTCAAATTGTTCATATTAGGAAACCAAACTATATGAGGAAGTATAGAGTAAGTTAAAAAAATTTGTGAGTGTTATACATTCTTCTATTTTATACTCAAAATAATACAAAGAGCCAAAGATTTGCGAATGTTATACATTTGGATGTATGTCAACATTCGTCAATGACATTTCTCAATTTTAATATTGTTTTGACACCCAAAAATAATACAAAATGAGCAGAATAATAAACAGCATCATATATAAAATTCTTAAAAAAATATATAATTTCATCGTAAAACATTTTTATTCTATGGAGGAATCTGAAGTAGAATCGTCGAGTAGACTTCCATTGTGGCTATCGGGAGATCCGATAGGCTTATTAAGATGAAGAGGTTGTTTAAGAGTCCAATACATTATACTCGCCGTCAATGTCAGCATCATCTTTTGATTCACCTGTTCATATATATATGAACACACATCAAAACCAAATCTTTCACTATAGTGTTTCTTCTATTGATTTTGTTTAAAAGTACCTCAATTATATCTTCAGGGAGTAAGAAAATGGAGCAACCAAGTTTCCTTGCTATGCTAATCACATAAGTTGCATTCATCTTTTTCTCTTCATCTGTATATTAACAAGTGTCCTTAAATAATAATGTTCAAACATGAATTCAAAGACAGAAACATATGAATATTAACAGTTATAATTACCTGTCACTCCGTTTGTAACAAGACTCCAGTTTACGGATCTTGTCTGCACTGAACTTAGCAGCTCCAAGAAAAATATCCCATCGGATAAGCTCTTGTCCTGTCAAATTCAATCATTCTTCGTTACTCACGCATACGCGGTTCGAAAGACAAACCGGGAAGCAAAGGAGTGTCATACGGATTGTGTATGCAAAACAAATGAAGCAGGAGAGTACTTACCCTGAAACTGTACATGTGGGTTTTGCATCCATTGTTTCTCACTTTAGCATTTGCCCATTCCAATATATCAACGTCTGTTATCTCTTTGCCGTTGGAATGTAATCTCAAGTTCTTAAGAAGTTGCAGGATGTTGTATCTCATCAATTGCCACAAGTATGCTGGAAGATAGTTTAAAAAATTCATTATTGAAGTGGTGATTCATAAAAACACACAGACATATAATTGAGAAATTTTACCTAGTATGAGTTTCTTGTTTCCTTGAACAATGTCATTTCCAGCAATGTTAACCAAAGAGAACTTGAGCTGCTTCCCTAATTTCACAACCTGATTACAGTTTTCTACTTTCTTGAATGGCAATTTGATTGGAGGCTTGCTTGCTACTTTCCAGTTAACAATGCCTGGAGACACTTTGTCTAGTGTCTGCAATAGTATCCACCTGTTGACGAACATGTAACTCGGTGTTAAAAATTCCTTTGACACTCTATTAATCATTTCTTATACTCAATGCTGAAATACTAACCCATCTCTGAGATCTTCAAACACGTTGTTTATGTATAGTGAACCATCAAAGCTGTTAATCCAAAACCGGAACGCTTTTTCTTCTCTTGAAATTTGAATGTCATCAGCTAGATTTTCAAGAAAAGATATCTGTTTCGTTTGAGTTGAAAGGCCGTTCCTGCGGGAAAGGAAACATAGTTCTAATCTGTTAGACTCACACTAAAAAGTTCACCTCTGACATGAACTGTTTTTGATATTGAAGTGTAAATCACCTGTGCTGGAATATATGTGCTACAAAAGCAAGATTAAGATTTGGGGAGCCCTCAACAATATCTTTCGCCGTCAAGTATCTCCTGCATCCCATTCTGTCTGCATGTTCGAGAACAAGTTTTGCTCTCTCAAATGAGCTTTTAACTGCTAAATGTGATGCATTCTTGTGCTCTGGTGCCAGGACATTTAATAGATTAGTGTAAGCTTCCGCATCCTGCAAAAAACCATGTCATAAGAGTCTATAGAGCATTTACTAGAAAAAATTGGTCAAACCAACCAATTAGAGAACACATAACTTGAAATGAGCCTTTCAATACCTTTACATCAGAGGAGAAGTTTGTGACGGTTTTTTTGTATTCAGTTTTTCTTAACTGAAAATTCATCCATCTCAATAAGATCTTCTCTGGTGGTAAACTCATCAGCTCTTCCACATCCTGTTAATCCCAAAAGTTATAACAAAGTCAAATTTTTGATGAAAAATCTGTCCTTTTAATGTTTCACTTAACCATCAGGATCCAAGACAATGAGTGAGTAGTATTTACCTTGCTATCACCAACCAACTCCACCAGCTGGGGAGTTTTCTTCAAGTTTAGGTCTGCTAGCAATTGTATCTAGACAGAACAATCACAATGAAGATTAATTACACATTCATCATTAGCAAAAACAAATAGCAGTATCTAGACATCATAGCCCTACCTTAATGATTTGAGAAATCACACCGAGCACAAGATGACGCTGCAATTAGAGAAACATAGAAATGTTAGTCATAACCATCACCAAAATTTCAAGATTACTGATGATAAAGTCACTTGATTCACATACCCTTCCTTCAATGATATCTTGAGTTCCTATATTAACCACAGTACAACCAATAGCCTTGGCAGAATTAAGACAAAGCGTATGATTTTCATTTCTCTCCCATGGATTAAGCATACTCTTAGTATTAATCGCTCGTTCATCGATCGTTCCAGGAACCGCCACATTTATAAGTTTACTACATCACATCA